AACTACTTCTCTTCTTAGCAGCCATGGGGTGCCCCCTCAGTTGGCACAAGACGGTGTTATCTGAGGTCAACACCTGGTTAGGTTTCCAGGTCAACCCATGCGGACCAGTGGTAGACTTCCCTCCAGATAAGAGGAAGACACTTGAGGCACTCCTCCAGACCATCGCGGCTGGCAACACCTTCGCGGTAAAGGAGATTGAGAGAGCATTGGGACGATTAAATTGGGCAACGGCAGCTTGGCCCCTCAGCCGCCCTTTTCTTCAACCATTTTGGGCATGGAAATCCGCGACGACTACTTCAGGGAAGCCCGGCAAGCTCATACGATCCTTTGCGAAGCTTCTCCTCCAGCTGCTCCACAACCCCCAGATCCAACCCTGCCCTTACGACCCTGCCTCCAATTGGTGGGGTGCCAGTGATGCTAGTGCACACCCGGATGATGGGGCCTACATTGGGGGGTGGATTGCAAACTGTGAGAACCCGTCAAAGGAACAGACCTGGTGGTTCCATTACAAGATACCCCTTGAAGACCATCCATGGGCTCACAAGGATGGTGATCCAACCAGACGCATTGCGACCCTCGAGATGTTTGGCACATTGATCCTCACCCACTTCCTTTTGGCTTTGGGTGGGAAATCTCTGCTCCGTACCCGTCTCAGCCTCATTTCAGACAATCAAGGCAATGTCTTTGCCCTGTTGAACCAGAAGACGAAGCATATGCCTACCTCAGCCTTCCTAATGCAGCTCATCGCCATGCTCTATGTTGCTGGGGTTCAATTGGCGCCTTCACACATGAAGCGGGACTACAACAAGTGGGCGGACGAACTCACCCACCCGAACTTCACTGGTTTTCATCCTGATCGACAACTACCAGTGAGTGAAGCTTTTTCTCATTTTAAATTTCTCTGGGCTCTTCTGGATGACCAGATGAGTGTCCCCACTTTTTCAGGAAATTCAAAACGTCGTAAGACCGATTCTCACGCCACCTAAGGTCCTTCGGGAGCCAGGTGGTTGCGGCTGACTTTATGATGTACAGTGGTGTTTTCCCACCTACAACCCCTCTTTTTCCCTTCTTACTTGCGCGAGCTTCACGCTCCGGCGGGTTGGGCGGATTTTGACGTGTGACACCACCACTGCAGTTCAGAGTTTCTGTGAAACCATTTGTGATAGATGCGATTGGCATCTGACAGAGACACAGCCGCAAAGCCAACTGCATAACAAAAGGTGCTGACTGATCGATGCAGTTGCTTTGTTCCGTTTCTGTCATTTTCAATTCTATTCGGGAACACATATATATATAATATAATATATATATATATATAAAAAATATATATATATAAAATATATATATATATAATTTAATATATATATATATATTTATATATTATATATATATAATATATATATATATAACTCCCTTGAGGAAACAATCCCACGCGTGAAATGCCCTGTCAGAGGGCTCGCCTCCCACGGCCCCACTGTCAGAGGGATGTTGCCATGGAATTGCATGTGGGGTTTCCAGGCATCGCCTGGAAGATTGACACGATCCTGGCGACTTGGCCGACTTGGCCCACTGATCCTTTTGAGGCACAAAAGGCAGGCATCGCAGAGACTTGTGGAGACATAGTTTGTACTACAAAGTTTGTACCCTTTTGTCCTTTTTGTCCAATGGCATGAAGAGCATGTGCCATTGGGCTTCAACTGGTCTCTGAACTTCATCAAAACATTGGCAAACGAATGAGATTTGGCTCTTCACAGCTGGTAAGACGCGAGCGAACAGATACGTTTTCAACATTTTTTCGAACTATGTTTTTCACATGTTTTTACCATGTCCACTAAGGTAGTCTTGTCGCCGGGGAGAATGTCAGGCGCAGTAAATTGAGATGGTCGAGTTCAGCGACAGGTACAGTGCCTGGTATCGTTGAATTCGACCATCTCAATTTCCTGAGCAAACCAGGAGCCTGAAACGTTTTTTTTTTTTAAACTTTTTCAACTTGACGTTGTGACTGATCACCAGCATGAGCCGGTCAGCACTTGGAAATCCCAGACACGTCAATTTTGCAGTTGGCGGAGGGATGTGCGGTTTGTATTTTTTCAAATCTCCCATTCTTTGAGCAGGAACTTTTTGCATTAGCAACATCAAACGAGTGGTAAAAAAGGGCAGTTGTGTTGAACCAAACCTGATTTTTGAGGCAGCTCCACTTCCTCCCAGATACGACATGATACGACGTAAAACTCACCTTGGATGCCATCTTTGTCCGGTCGAGAACGATCCTGTTCCCTGGGAGGAGTCGATATGAAGCGAAGCTGGTAACTTGAGCCGGAGGTGGGGGCCGTGGGGACCGAAGTTTCACCCAAAAAACGACAATTGCTACAAAATACATCAAGATACCACGATCAAAATGCAGAAACCACTTGATATTAACCAGCGGATGATAGTGGATGTGTGTTTTGCACTCCGGGAGTTGCTTTTTGGTAAGCTTTCGTAACCTTGCCATCTTTGTTTTACAAGGTAGGCATTATTCCCTCATGTTGCGCGTTTCATGTTGTTTTGTAGCACCCACTTGCAACACCATGTAACAGTTATGTAACATCCGTGCTTCAAGGCACTCTTAGCCTTGATGTCTTTAAAGCGCAATACCCTGCGAATTTTTGAGCCGCTTCCTACCGAGTCGTTTTTTTTTTTGTTTCTAGCACAATTCCACCAGGTATCCCCTCATTCACCAACCCTTGGAACTCAAGTAACCACAAGCTTGATCAGAGGGGGGTCTTCATGGTCTGGACTGAAATGCAAGTTGATGCAAGTTGATGCAAGTTGATGCAAGGTTGCAATGCTGCGAACTGATGACATGATGTGCGAGCTGCAGCTGAGATCAACTGGAGTTCGCAAATCATGTCATCACTTTTCTCGCAAACCGTGAGAGTCTTAAAGCCAAAGATAGCCGAGACAGACCAGTCTCAGCTCGCCTTGTGGACGGTGGTTTTTCGCCGGACTGGATGCAAATTTTCGAATGCAGTTTTCGATTTCCCAAACATATCCCAAACAAATCATTATAAATTATAAGCCTTCTGTTTTCGAATCCTTTTTTTTCAAATTTCATTTTTTGCCTTCCTGTTGGCCTTTGGTTTCCCAAACTCGACGAGGTGGTCAGGATTTGGGCAGAGATTTTTTGACATGCGGCGAGGCGAGCAGCTGAAGGATGCTGAATCAGCTCAGTCCTTGTGTTTAGTTTATGGTGTCCAACTAAGTCAACACATCTACACTTACCCTCTGGTAATTTAACATAGCTATTGAAAATGGCCATTTATAGTGGATTTTCCCATCAAACATGGTGATTTTCCATAGTTACGTTAAATTACCAGCACTTAATGTCAACCCCGGATGAAAATAAACCATGGTTTATGAAAATTAGGGGGGTACTCCTCCATTTTCGTCATGATATGATACTTCTTTTGTGGTACCCTCCCAATTAAACAATCTAGGGGTTTATTAATCCAGGGTTGACATTAATATCAATGGGAGATCTCCAGGATCCTAAAATGGAGGTACTGTATGGTACTGTACCATATTTTAGGCCATATTTTGTGGGGATATTCCCTTACATAGGCTTGAAAAATAGGCCTTATATATGGTAGGTACCTCCAATCTAGGATCCTGAAATGGCCGTTGATAATAAGTACCAGTGTCCACTATGCCATTGTGCATGGCCATTGATTAAATAGTCCAACACATAAGTTGCAGTTTGCTGATTGTATCATCACTTTTTGCCACTCGAATTTTTGCCTTTCTAGAACTTGGGAGCCATGAACAGAACGCGACCAACATTGCTCAGCCTTTGCCCCGTGCGAGATGAAGATCATCATCGATCATCGTAGTCGGATCTGTTTCGTGGTGGTTCTGTGGCACCAGAAACGACCAGAAATCCAGTGCATCCTGGCGCCCGTGGCAGTGTGGTCCGCATCCAGATTTTGTGGTTGTCAAGAGTTGATATACGAAATGATTCTATGCTTGTACTCATTGTACTATCCCAAAATATAGCAAACCACGAAAAGTTCGAAAAATCATTTACCACTACAACTTCGTAGGACTTTACTTTTGATTCCTTCTGGGGGTGTGGGTTGTCCTATTTATATCCCCATTCGAATCTAAAATTCTGAGTGACACGCTGGCTTCTCAGTTGATTTTGCTCGAAATCCTGGCTGCAGCTTCAGAAGGTTACAATCCAAGCTACAGAAGGACTATGATGAGATTTTGACCATCCAACATGGTGATTTAATGCGTATAAATTTTCCATGACTTGGTTCTTTAACATGAGTATGGCATAGATGGCCCATTTTCTCGATGCTAAACTGATGATTGACCTATTCAGAATGGCTATTTTCCATAGCTATGATAAATTACCAGAGGGTTCATAGGGATTTGGATAGTACACTATATAGAAATCCCTAATTAGGGATGGAAACCCATCTCCCTATATGATGACCATCAATCCATTTTCAATGGGGATTTGTATATCCACTATGTCACTATGTTTGGATTTGCCGTGGGATGACCATAGTGCCATATATGCCATAGACCTTTTGACCACCGAAGGGACTGGGTTCCTTTGGGTACGTTGGAAAATGTTACTGGACCTACTGACATCTACTGACCTACTCCAGAGGTTCGCAAATTTCATAGGGATACTGATCAACAGTGGATGGAGTTCTTTTTTTGCACCTAGGTTTCAGACAAAGCCTTGGCCCCCACCTAGCGCACCTGGCATCTGATTTTTGATGGAAGATCTATAATTTTCACTAGAAATGGGGCAATGGTGCCAAAACGTGAATTCTTTTACCACTATTATCGCGGTATTATCGACAGAGTCAGAGTCCCAGTTTTTGTCCAGGTAAACAGGTAAACATTCCGACTGTTTTGCTCATGACTCTTGAGCTGGTGCCTTGGAACAAAACTTCCAGTGAAAGAGTGACAGAGAATGGGTTGAATTGCCTTAGCCCATGAGTTTGCTCCCCGCGCCCTGCCATGTCGGGAGATCTTGCTGTGCAGTGCAGCAAGTTGATCGAATGGTACCACCGCTCTGATTTCTGTTTTCCGAATGAGTTTGTGTTACCATTGGTATATATATATACCTATATTATTATATTGGTATTACCTATCATTTGTGTTACCTATGTTACCACCGCTTCGAATACCAATGATATACACAGGGCGCCTCACGGCTGACGCCAGGTTGCTTGCGCGACGAGTGATACCGGAGGCAGATTTCATCATAAAATCTGTGGTTTTGGCAGCAAAGCTACCAAAAAAAATACAAAGAGGCTGGCACTTCAATTTGGCAAACATTTCCCTGAAATTTTAGAGTTGCAATGTGAGATTTAGCTCTGACTGTGTTGGACCTTGTTCTGGAAGACATATTATTTAGTGTATATTCGCGCGATGGTCTTCATGGTCCGGGTTTTTGTTGCTTCAGGTCAATTTATGATGATTTATGTTTGGGTTTGTGTGAAGATGGGGTATACCGTATGTACCGCCCAGTGGCCATCAAATAGTAGGGCAACCGAATGAACAAGATCCCTGAACAGTGGAATATGATGGAATGGCATTTTGTCCTGGAATAATCATCGCAAGCTCACGTCGCAATCAGCCAATCATCCTGACGCCGTCAGGACTACACGAAACTCCTCGCAGCCGTTCAGGTGAGTTGATGAGTGCAACTGGAGAATCCCAGTTGGGGTTATTAATGGGCAAAACTTTCGGTATAACTATGGTAAGCATCTGTGACCATCTTCATAGGTTTGGATATCACCTGCAATTGTATACGGGGGCAAGGGATGACTAGACTTTAGGAAAAAAGAGCTATAGCTCATATTCAACACCCAAACGAAACCATGGTAAAAACATGTAAAAACTAGGGGATGAAACCACATATTTGGGACCATGAAAACCGTGGGGGTGTCAAAAAGTATGAACGGAGGACGGGATTAACACTGGATGGGATTTTTAGTCAACCCCGGATCAACAATGTGGATGGTTTTACCATCAAACCCACAAACGTCTGACTCAGGATATCCCAATCATTCCCAATCCAATTGATGTAATTTCTCAACAAATAATTGCTCAACAAAAAACCCAAAACCGTTTCTTGCAGGTCATCTAAGTCTCTAAGTGAAGTAATTGATTTTCATATTCCCTGCAAAATCAAGGCCATTTCAAGTAACTGATGTGTGTGGTATTGTATATATATATACACATACGTATACATATCCAATATTATTAAACACACACACACATACACATATATATATATATACACATAATATCATATAATATAACCTTGATTATGATATTTACTTGATATATTATGCTATATCCAGGTAGATAGATATGGGCACCTGGTGATCCTTGGGCCCGAGGTTCGAGTCGCCGAAGCCCAGAAGGAACAGATCACCGATGAGGCGCCTTGGAAGATGATTTTATGGTTTATCAATTCAACATGTTTTTTTTTTTTTAAATAGTTTTAACATGTTTCAACACTGATCTCTGCTGGGGTCTCAACCCTCTGCTGTAGATTCCCTTCAGCCAGGCCTCGCGGAAGTTGATTTTGCAGCACGAGGAGGTGCATTTTCTGGCGGCGAAGAAGATCTACGAGGCGAGCCTCGAGGCGATTGGCATGTGGGACCCCAAGAAACATGTTATTTTTTAGAAAAAAGGTACAGAAAATGTGGATGATTTGACTTAGTGATAGAATCTTGAATATCTGTAATATAATATATAATATATATATATATGTGTATGCATACATGGCTGATTGTGATGTATTTGGTGATAAAATCTTGATTTCTGATTCAGTAAACTCTTTTCGGAGACTCCTAACCAGTCAGATCGGGGGATCATCTCAGGCAATTCAACGATCCCCAGAAGGGCAAGCGAAGAGCCTCTTAGGCCCGGGCGTCGGACGCTTCGGACGATGCGATTGATGAAGCAAACCGGGGCACTTCACCGTTTCATTGGTGGATGCCATACCATAGCAAGCTGCTAGTTTGGGTGAATCCCAGGCTTAAAAAAAAGAACGTGGAAAACCAGCAGCAAAGTAGTAGATTGATATCATTTTGTGGCAGGTCTATGAACCATCAAGAGCAGCTGCCTGATGACAGATCTGAACCGATCTTCATATTTGTTGTACATATACGTTTGGAGATATTTGGAGAATCACACACACACAATCTGTACATATTTGAGTTGAGCAGCTCATATTTTGATGTTGCAAGAAATGGGGGTGGGTCAAAACCTATTATTATCAATTCTTAGATGGGATGAACATCCATCTACCAGCTATTTTGGGGTGCACTAGGTGCCAGGGTTTTGACCAATAGCCAAATGACCTTTGCAGACCTGCAGAATTTGAGCGATTTATCAAGTCTTCAGGTCACAGCAGAAGTCAGTGGTGCACCCTGTGCACCCTATTTATTCCAGTGCTTCAACGCCCATGATTTTCCCCAACGGAGGTAGCCATACACACCCGGGAGCTGCAAAATGGAAAGCAGTGATGGATGCGTGCCCAAGCGGGGATGGATTTGGACAGTTCCAAGGCAATTCCAATCAGCGGAGCACTTTTTCAAGTTTCAGATAGTTTCAGATACCATCTGGTTATGACTTTCACAGTTTGCCAGGGAAAGATCCACCATGCTATTAAGAACGGTAAACCATCTATAAATCTATGGGCCATTTTCATCCATCTATACCATGGCGAACTGTGAATGTCATAACCAGAGGGTAACCATCATTAACCATCATAAACCATCATTAACCATCATTAACCATCAGTTGCCATGGAAAATCACAATTTTTAATAGGTAAACCATCTATTTCTATGGGCCATCTATACCATGGCTATGTTAGTCATAACCAGAGGTTATGTTTCAGCCAAGGCTTTGACATTGAGAATTTCCAATGACGGCAGGGCCCCCAGTCGTTGGAGGTACCGCAAACGTCACCTGGGCTGGGCCAGCGCGGTGCCTTGGCAGCAGGGCCAGCCGGCAGCGCTTTGGTGCCCGGCTAACAGGCAGAAAAAAAATGGTGATTTAAGGGGAACGAAGGGGATATGATTGGGGATGTTGGTTAATATTGGGGATATACTGGGAATATAAGCAACATCGATACACACATCGATACACATCGATACCCATTGACACATGCACACACACACAGACACGCACAGACACACAAATAGCACAAACTGATGATGTATTTTTTTGGCCATCATTTGAGCCATTCGGTTCACAAGGCCCGATTCTTGATTCAGAATGTCAGCTACGAGCTCACAGCGCTGTGTCTTTGGCTTGTGTTCAGTGGCCAATAGCCACTGATCCGACGGTTGTTCTCTAGGAGTTTACAGGAACAGTCACTGCAGTCACTCAGTCTGATTGACAAAGCCCTGAATGATCTGGATGTGGAAAAATCATCCATTCACCAGCTCAATACATACTTAGCAGGTCACTGGAACAGGGTTTTGCCACATGGGGCCCATCGACGGCCATCCTGCTGAATGGGGTAGCAGCGGCTAGGACCAAACAAGCTTCGGCCTGCGAGAGACAGGCGCCAGCCGCGCCTGGAGATGTGGCGCGGATGTTTTTAGCAGCAGATCCATCCAACTCAGCCGGTATCGATAAATAAATATCGGTAAAAATCGTGGTAAGATGGATGGTAAAATCTATGGGTTGGTCAAAAAAGTTGGGGGAACCCCGAAATTCCATGGTAAACATCATGATTTTTAGCAGCATCAATTTTCCATCAAGTTGTCTTTTTTGAATATGATCGCATCAGATTGTATCCTCATGATGCTGGCTTTTCAAAAACCCCACCAGTTTGGGGATGACACACCGATTTTATGACGATAAACATCGATACACCACTTGATTTTGGCGACACGATTTTAGTCAAGCCCATATATATATAACCCCTGTGATGATGGTTGATGATTTTGTGAAAACCTTAGGAATTTTTTTGTGTGAACGGATGTTTGTATATATCAGCTTCATTCTCCACAATCAAAATCGAGGAAAGGACCAAATTAAAAAAACGCCAGGTGCATGACTGTGTTGCCAGACAAGTGGAGTTGGATCGGCAGGAGGCCAATGCCAAAGCAAGGTCAGCATCCATGGTACCCAGCGTTGTTTTCCCACTGGAGGATGCGCGCTTGCCATTAGACCGGGGATTTACACATAATGTGGGTAAAACAGCAATAAACCATTCCCAAAAACATGACCATTTTGATAGGTGGTATAAACTTACCATTCCCAGGAAGTCATGGGTGATTTATGACATTGTTTGACCTGCTGGGGATTGAATCCATGTATTAAGAAGTTCGGGGGATGGCAAAGATCAGGACAGACTTGGGAGAGCTCATCATTTGTTCGGACCAAGTTGGCACAGTTGGAGGTATCGCGAACTGCTGAATGATTTGGGCATTGAGGGCCCGGCCCTTAGACATTCCACATGTGTTTTCTATATTCGGAGGACTTCCCGTGCAAATGAAGACATTTTTTGAACATTCAGCCTTTCTTGTCGAGGATGTTTGCTGTTTTTTTTTCATGGTGTGAAAGTTGCACCAGTTCCACCATCCAACAATTTGAATTCGCTTGGTCAAGTGGGGTGCGTTTCATGCGTTTGCTGATTTGATTTACATTGTGTTTCCTCGTGATACTCTGGGCCAGCTTCGGCGAGTTATTTGGGTGTCAGAATCTAAGGGCTTTGGTAGGACTTGAGTTCTTTCCCAAGCTTGGCTTTGGGTTCAGATTGATGCATCCCATTCCTAGGGTTCCTATGAAAAGGGGATGCAATCCACTCATGGATGATCAATTTTCAGAAGTGGAATGAACATCTGCAGGAAACACCAATCGTTACAATGGGAAAACCTGGCAAAACACATGAAAAAAAACATAAACAACTCTTGTAGAGTGTCCGTTGTTCACAGACCCCAAAAAGATACGTCACTATATACTGAATCAACCACTGTCTCAGAAGAATTTTACGAACACTTTCATTTCCATTCTTTTTGGTCATAATATTTTTTGGACTTTTTACCCACCATAGATCCAACATTTTCATCATTTTCCCATCCTATTTTCCAAGATGTTCATCATCATTTTTCAGTCATTTTCCGGCCAGGCTTCGACGTGCGCTCGGAGCTGCGGCTGCGTGCCAAGCAGGAGCAGACGATCAAAAATTGTTATAGCAATCTTTTTTTTTACTATTACCCTCTGGTAATTGAACATAGCTATTGAAAATGACCATTTATAGTGGATTTTCCCATTGAACATGGGGATTTTCCATAGTTATGTTAGTTTACCAGAGGGTACAATATATAAATTGCATAGTGTATGTGTTCTGATTCTTATATTCTTATTCGTATTATTATCTTATTACTATCATGATTCATGATTATGATTCGTTGACGTCGGTGTTTTGCAGGACCTTTGCCTGTCGGGAATCCCACATGCTGTGGGTTGCCAACTTGTTTTCCGTCACAATCTAGTAAATATTAGGTGAATCAAAGTTCACCGATCTGAGGTATTTTGGTACTATTTCCTTCACCATGCTGAAATTAGAACTTGTTAGGGTGCTGCACTATATTATAACTAACATTGATGGGGTTTAATCTTATAAAAGTTGCCCATGAATCCCCATGAATTATATATAATTATATAATTATAAATTATATGATTATATGATTTCATCCATATCTCCTAAAGTTGTTTCAGTTTCAGTGACTTTTTGAGGCTGTCCGAGCAGGTGATCGACTTGCTGAGACGGGCCGGGCAGGTGCAGATGGGATGAAGATCCCTTGGTTTTCTTTGGAGATGATCATCATGATATCATCGCTATATGATCCATTTATCATCATTATATCATCCATGAAACAGGAAAACATGCAATCTTAAGAACATCTACTGGTTGGTTATCATCCATTTATCATCCATTTATCATTTATCATCCATGAAGTGGGGCTCCCTCTTTATTGACCAACTGTTGGTTTACATCTGATGCTACCAGGACACGGCGAGCAAGTACCAAGTCTTTGCCGAGCATGCTGCTGAGAGGCGCCTGCGAAAAACCCGCGGTTTGATGGGGGACATACAAGGTAAGGCCCTCCAGTTTTAACTTGGGTTATGAACCACATTAACATTCCCCATAAACCCTAGTGAACCAAGTTATAAGTCAACTTGGCTATCTAGGGGGCCTCACCTTGTAACCCCCAAATGGCGATTTGTCGTGGGAAAAACGTGTGTTAATTTTTTCATGGATTTTGGGTTTTTTCCCTTTAAAGCCTGCAGAGAAACTCGCTCATCCCTGGGTCAGCTACAGATTTTTGAAGGCGACGGCGACCCATACTGGATCATGTTGGGGATGTGGGGGGACCAAAAAAGTGGGACCGTTGGGAGCCTTCCACATGATCTCGCCCGCCAAAAGCGCAGGCCGCTCCCCGAGGCAGCTGGGGGAGCTGGGAGATTCAGCATTTTATCTTCCAATCCGACGGGATGACGACCTTTTATGTTGTATGAACATGTAGCCCAATTTATGGCAATTTCAATGGAACATATGATGATTAATCGATCCGTGGATTCTTGGGCTTTCCCCTCAATGTTCAGAGAAATCCAGATTGACCTGGCTCGATTTTTCAGATTTCGAAGATTTTCAAAGCACCAGAACTCCCCAGAACCTTTGGATCCCTGATTTCCTGTCGATTTTGAAGCAACCCAACTATGTAATATTGTTCATATTATTATCCATAATATTCTCCCAAAAAGATCATCAAGTAAGTCGAAACTCCCGAATGCATTTCCCATCTTATCGACATATATAGTCCTATATAATATAATACAGTATAATATAAATATAATTTATAATATAATATATATATATAATATAATTTAATTTAATTTCATATAATGAAATTTAAAATAATACAATATGACCAGTAGTACCGCACGGTCGGCGGTGGCGGAAAATTCAAACATAGGAAACCGAAAAAGGAGAGGTTGGTTGTTGTGAATCACGGATGGCTGAGCGAATCCACTGATGGACCAAAAGGTGGTTGAAGTTGTGTTTTTTTGAGTGGGTTGCAATGGTTGCAGTGGTCACCTCACCCACAACTGCTGGATGTAGTGTGGTGTAGTGCAGTTGTAGTTGTAGTTGTAGCGTGGTGTAGTGGAGTTGTATTTGTAATGTGTAATATATAAGTGTAGTATATTCAGTTGCACATGTAGTTGTAGTTGTGGTGTGGTGTAATTAGTGTAGTGTATTGTAGCGTTGTGTACTGTAGTGTGGTGTAGTGTAGTCTAGTGTAGTGTAGTGTAAGGTAGTGCAGTTGTAGTGGTAGTGTGGTGCAGTGTAATTAGCGTAGTGTCGTGTAGCACAACCGAGTGGTAGTTACAATTGTAGTTTCAGCCGCGGTTGTAGTTGTAGTTGTAGCGTAATTTGCGTAATGTAATATAAATAGTGTAGTGTAGCGTAGTGTTGTGTAGTTGCATTTGTATTTGTAGTTATAGTCTTCTGCAGTGTAATTAGTGCAGTGTAGTGTAATGTGGTGTAGTTGATATTGTTGTTGTAGCTGTGGTAGTAGTACTTGTTGTAGTTGTAGTGTAGTGAGTGTAGTGTAGTGTAATTAGATGTAATTAGTGTAGCGTAGTGTAGTGTAATTAGTGTAGTCTAATGTAGCGTAGTGTATTTGCATTAGTAGTTGTAGCAGTAGTGTAGTGTAGGGGTAGTTGTAGTTGTCTATCTGTCTATCTGTCCATCTGCAAGCTTGGAAACGAAGTGTTTCTGCAAGGCTTCCTCAATTTTTGAACTTGACAACATCAAAAATGCAGCAATTCTGCAAAACGTCCTCAACTTTTTCACTTGGCAACGTCAAAAACGAAGCAATTCTGCGAGACTTTCTCAATTTTCAAGTTGACAACATCAAAAACGAAGCAGTTCTGCGAGACTTCTTTCAAAAATAGGAAGTTGAGTGCAGAGCTGACGGCCTTGTACCAATGCGTTTTGCGATTTTTCCAGCCCATGTGTCTAGAGTAGTGTGCCCGCCAGGAAAAAGTGATGCCAGGTCATACGAAGTGCTGCACCTGTCACACAAAACCATCATCCCAAAACTGGAGATCTCATGCTCCAAAATGCAACCACTCTCAGGAAATCAGTTGCCTGACCTCCTAAAATCTCTGATGAGCATGGCTCTTGTACTGCGCCTGCCACGCGAAATCCATCTTTGCAGATCCTCTTCAAATGTCCCACGCCCGCCATCGTTTTTGGAAATGGCACAAAACCCTCACGTTTTGCTTACTTTTGGCAGGGTGGAGAATCCCTTGCGCCTGCCACGCAAAATGACGCTTCAACGTCCAAAAGTGGCGCGAACATGTGGTGCTTTGTGCATTTTGACTCAGAAATGTGCTTCGCGCCACAACGGCGTACACTTTTTGAACGTCTCAACTTCCAAAAGCGCCCCGAGGCTGAGGTGTTTTGTACATTTTGGCTTCGAAACGTGCTTCGTGCCAGAACTGCGTGCCCTTTTTGAACATCTCAACTTCCAAAAGTGTTCCGAGGGTGAGGTGTTTTGTACATTTTGACTTCGAAATGTGCTTCGCGCCACAACGGCGTGCACTTTTTCGACATCTCAACTTCCAAAAGTGGTCCGAGAATGGTGTGTTTTGTACATTTTGACTTCGAAATGTGCTTCGCGCCACAACGGCGTGCACTTTTTCGACATCTCAACTTCCAAATGTGGTCCGACACTGAGGACCCTCCGGAGCCACAAATCAATGGAAAAACAATGTTTCGCGCCTTTCCTACCTTTTCGCGCACCTGCATCTTCTTTCTTCGCGCTCTTTCTCTTCTCTGATCTTCTCTCTTCGGCTCTTCTCCTCTCTGACTCTTCCCACCTCTGCTTTTCCATCTGTCCATATTGTCGGACGTTTGACTTCTAAACCTCCTTCGATGAAATGAAATGATATGATGTGATTTAATATGATATGATTTGACTTAGTATTATATAATTTGGTATGATTCAATATGACATGATACGAGTTGTTATGGTTTGATATAATATGATATGATATGATATGACTTAATATGATATGACATGATTTAATATGATATGATTTGATATGATATGACATGATTTAATATGATATAATATGGTTTGATATGATATGATATGATATGATTCAGTATGATATAATATGGTTTGATATAGTATGATATGATCTGATTTAATATGATGCGATTTGATTTAGTATGATAGGATTTGATTTAGTATGATAAAATATGATTTGATATAATATGATATGATATATATATATATTAAATTATATATAGATATATATTATTTTCCATCGTTTCTCCGAACCTTTGGGATTTTGGAAGCCGCGAGTCGACCCATCAGGTGCTTCCCTTGTTCCGGGCCTTGAGTACTGCAGAGCTACCGAGCATGGAGGTGACATGGAACGGGCACGAGAAGAGATAGGAGAGCAAAGAATTCATGGGAATATCATGGGAATACCCACGGAAAACAATGAAAAATAATGGAGTATATTCATTAAAAAAAATATAAAATGTTTTTTTTAATAGGTAAATCATCAAACCAAATGGACCATTTTCCATAGCAACCTGTTGAATTTTCAGGGGGTAATTGATATAATTTGCCCTCTGGTGATCAGGGATGTGGTTGGAAAAAATCCTCTAGCCATGGTTCGATGATTTCCCCAGCAATCAACCTCCATTTAGCTTGTTTTTTTCGCTGGAGGGTATCCAAAATGGTCGAATCTCATGTTTAATTTTTGGGCACATGTCGTGCCTAACGAGTTTTTGCCAGAAATCAATCCCATGAGGAAAAACAAGGGTTTCAGGGAACACCAAGTTTGAGAAAAACTCAAGGTTTCTCCGCCCAAACTAGACCCGCAAATTTGGATTCTCTGGTGGGGCAACTTTTTGAAGGCATTGGAAGAGCAAGATCAGACCTCAGGTCGTGTTTCGAGTGATTCCATTGTTTTGAGGCCAGTTTTGGGACATGAAAACGAGGCCAAGGCAAGAGTATAGGGGCGTGGATCAATGTTGGAGGTACGATTTTGGGACTATCCAAGAAATGATTTGGGGACAAACCCACTGATTTGATTTTTTTGAACTTGTACAGGGACAGCATTGGAAAAAAACATTCGGTGACCAAAAGCCAAGGTTCCAGGCTTCCGTGAGCTTCGACTCCAGAAAGGCAGGGCGTGAACTTGTTGCGATTTCTGGAGCAGGAAAAACAACTCAACACCAACATGTCCATCAAAGGTGCAGTTTACTTCCAGTTTTTCTCATTTTCAAGGTGTGTGTTTTGTTTTTCCCTGAGTACCCATTTGACACTGTGCCTTCCCCAAAAAAGGTGGAGGTGCTGGAAGATGATTGGGGAACAGGTATTGGGTATCCCGGTATCCTCAAAACTTGGATGATAGGGAATCAATTGATCCAGATGGGGAGGTTGGAGAAGCAAGCTTCGAGCCGAGATGCAGGATGATTCAGGTATATTAATAATGATTAATCCATTTTAGCTCCAATTTCATAGATCATCTTCCATCATTTTTGCCCTGCCAAGCACGGCCAGTGGCAGGCCAGAGCCTGGATGCGGATGCTAACGTCCATGAGGCATTTCCATGTCCAAGAAAATTGGGGATAGAACCAATCATTATTCCTGGGAAAGCTGGGAAAGGGATGAACAATACCCTGTGCCAGCTTGGCTCCCCGGCGTTTGCTTTTTGGGCTGCAGGTGCCGGCTGCGAAGGGTCTCGAAGTGGAGGCCCTGGTCGCAGATGGTGTTGTTTTTTGGGGTTAAGAAGCCATTCTGGAGGAACTTTTGAGAGATGATTTTGAGAGGAACTCGGGTGCTCCCCTGAGGGTCACCCATCGCTTGATCACCTCCGGCTATGTGCATGGCAGGCTGCAGGGACAGATGGAATTGCTTCAAACTCAGGAACAGGTTTCAGAATGATTATGTGGTGTTTACAAAGATACTGGTGCTAGACTGCTAGCGGTGGGCCTTTGGTCAGAAACAGATACCATCCGGTCATCAGCTCCATCGCTGGAAAATCCATCATTTATAGATGTTCCCAGCCAACTAAACCTCCATTTATAGGGTAATTACAATGGATCTTCCAGCCATGTTTGATCACCAGAGGATAGCAGAATGGCCACCTAGCTAAGGATTGGGGAATCACCTGTGAGGGCGGCGGTGAAAGTGGCGGAAGTGGTGGCATCAATTGGGACTTTGAGGTGGAAAAGGAGGCCACGCCCCCCGTAAGAAGCCATGGCATGGTGATCTGGCGAGGGGTCAATATGGCTATAATTTTCAATATATATATATTGATATACGTATATCTAATATGTAGGATATACGACCGCTTCCGAACCCACCTGGCGCACACTGATGATATATGTATAATATATATATACTTACACATTATATATATACATGATATATATATATATATACACATAGATATAGATGCTGTGCATATGCTTTTCCGTTTTCCGATGGGGGTAATCAACATCCATTTTTTTCAGCTATGTGGCGTCTTACCTGCCGGGGTGATCTGGCTAGTCGTCCATGTCCATTTTCATCGTGGCTCGAAATCATCAAAATTGGATGGGTAAAGGCTCCAAAAAAATAACATGTTGAGAATACAGCAGTCCTGTGACTTCTATATCTTCTATGGTTATAACTAGTTATAACATGTAGACATTCTCAACATCAGTAGTAATTGACACATCCAGCTTCATGTTGATGTTGAGACTGGGTAGACAGTCCTGCAAGGGCACTTTTGCAATGGGTGGCATGGGTAGGAACATCTAAGAGCCATGGAAAAATCAGCCGGCCTGCACATTTTGCCCTCTCAACCTTTGCTCTCCAGGGTGGGAGAACTATTTTATTGAAAACAGAGACGTCCCCGTCAATTGGAATATCCACAAAATGGGACCCGAAATAAATTCATTTTTCATCCCGTGGCCCTTCCAATGGCCACTTTGAGGGTTGTATCCCCAGATTCAGACACATCGAACTATCAAAAAACCATGGTTGGTCTGTGGTTACCCCACACCTTTCTGCGATATCGTCACACTGGCAGGTCGCAACTATCGAGCCGGAAGGTGCTGTATATGGGGAATTCAACAACTGATGGTGCCTATGGCCTGTACGAAGCCTGTATGGCTTCGTCAGAAAATGGTTACAGAAAAATTGCAATTTCAAGGAGGAAATGAGAATCAACAAATATGATGAGGAACAAAAATACCAATTTTTGAGAATACAAAAATACCCATGCATTTTTTCCGGTGCCCTATTGTGAGACACAACCGCATATGGGGTATAAAAGTATCGACTGAAGGTTTCCCAGAGTTCCTGCAACGAACATTTCTGACCCCACACACTTGGATGTTTCATACCAAAGATGCGGAAAGTGTTTGTGAGGAATCGAAGTATGAATCGAGGGTTCACAGACTTTTTAGTTCGGGCATCCAGCTTTCCTGCTTTGATGTTCAACGGAAAGAAAACACATATCAAAAGAAAAATCGAAAACGGAAAGTTGAGTTCTTTATTTCATAGAATTGGATGATGGGAAAATTTACAGGAAAGCCCTATATTTGATGGTAAAAACCATGGTTTCCTGTAGATTTTCCCTTAAACCAGTCCATTGATTATTCTTTATTCTTTATGACTCTTGTACTTTCTGTTTCATCATCTTGATCAATAAATCCATTCCTTTTTTGATGAAACGTTTCTTCTGGGTCTGGAGGCGTCTCTGCTGGGATTGATTGGGGCGCCGTGTCCTTCGAGGGCTGTGAGATTGCTGAGGTGTATCTTGGGGTCCACTGGGGCTTAATGGGTGGTTATGGGATATCTCAATGGTCTCAATGGATGATTTATAGGGTCCCATAACCATAATAATTGGTGGTTAGGGTGAACATCCATTGAGATATCCCATAACCACCATTGGATGTTCACAAAATGGTGATTAATTGGTGGTTAGGGTGAACATGATTGCCATTTTGGATGAAGATTTCTAGCTTTTTCTTCAGTTTTTTTTCATAAGCACCGGATGCATCGGATCCATCGGACTCTTCAGCCATGGTTTCCGTGGGTCCATTGGGTCCATCAATGGGATTTCAGCAAGAGAAGTCCGTATTTCGTCCACCGTTAAACACGAAGATCCAACATTGAGTCACTGGAAAAGCCATTCTGAGTTCTTCCCCCCTCATTGCAATGTCATGAAGCAAGATGGGGGGGTTGTAACCACAAATGATGTAGGATAGGAGATGCCAAATACAATTTCAGAGGTAAAAGAAGTAAGAATTGCTTGTGTTAAACGATTCTTGGTTGGATTGGTTACAAGTCATGAAGGGATTTTTTTTTCAGCCGTGGGGGTCATTGCGAGATAGATAACTATGGGTTTGTTGAAGGTTGTCTTACCAAAACAAATCATTTAGCATGTTTGGACACACCATGACACACCTATGTGAAGTGCGGATAGATGGGTATGTGTGCGGATATAGCCAACCTAACATGGAATGGACACAACAGACATAGTATAAGTGTGAAAAGTTCGCAAGTTGGGGCTCAAAATGAATTGACATCATTGACGCCCCTCAAATTCACAGTATCAAAGAGTTCTGTTTTACGAGACTCAGAAATTCACATCATAGGACGAGTGGCTGGTGCTTCCAGTTGTTGGTTTGCTGTGGCCATCAGGTTCAAGGAGATGCTGCGGCAGATGAAGCCATCCTCGCAGATGCTGCGGTGCCTCGTCAACGCAGTCGCAGTTGGGACCTGGGTGCTGATCACTGGCGTCACGATGATGGTTTCCCTCGGCTAAACATACAAAAAGAATCAAAAAGATGTGGAACACCCATGGTTTTTTCTAGGAACATGATCTACAAATGGTGATAAATAGGATACTTTTTCCACATGTTGTCTACAAGAGTGTAACTATGACTACCTCAGGATTGTGAACAGACTTCTTCTGGGATGAATTGACTCTTATAGTAAGATGGTTATGATTGGAATGAATTGTTATAAGATGGTGATGTCGATTCTTCACACGTTATGGTTATCACTATCCATCAATTTATGTAAATATCCACAATGATAATCAACATGAATATCCATGATCATCCATCATAAATCTCCATAATATTCCATGATTATCCACTACCATCCGTTATTTCCCATATTACCAACATAGCCATAATATCCTATGATACTCGTAGTGAATTTCACCACCAGATCTGTCACCTGACATCTGTTTCACAGTGGCCAGGCGAGGGACTTGCTTGCGCGCGAAGTCGCCGAGGCGCGCGGCTCGGCGTTTCGCTCGGCGTGAAAATGCTAGGCGTGAAAAAGGGAACACCTTCAGCCGGATTTTGGCCATGAAATATAGAGGTTTCCAGTTTCAATTTTTCCTTAAACTGATATATGAGAATATTGAGATTTGAACGCTAAACATGCACATAAAGTTATATCCAATAGCGAATTGATATGTATAAACAGTGCTTTGGCTCTATTGATGTAATGATCCGTCGTGTAAAATTTTCTGGTTTCATTGTTATTTTCAGTATCCACCAATGGATACCTCACTCATTTCATCTTTCAGTGCCTCGATTTCAGAATTTTTTTACGGTTGAACGGCCTGTATTTGATGGGAAGAACACATAGTTTCCGGTAGATTGTCCTCAAAAACTCAGCCCATGACGTGGTTTTTAATGCCAAAGATGATTTTCCCCACGATTTATCGGGGTTAAACCGGTGGGAAACCCCGGTCACCAATGGCCTTCCTGGAGGCTTTGGCCTTCCTGGTGGAGCGTTGTGGCGATTTGGCCTTGGGGGGCGCCGCCTGTGAGGCCAGAGATTTTTTTTTTGGATTTTTGGCAGGAGTCAGAAGTAACGAATTCTGAAACCTAGCAAAAAAGATATAATGTGTGTGTATACACATGAATATGAATATGAGTATGTATATATATATATATATAATATATATATATGAATATATGACTATATATATATGTATACATAGAATCCAACAAAGAAGTCGGACATCATGAGCAGTCATGGAGATGCTGCCACCAGAACCGTGCGCAAATCGTACTCTGCAGGAGTATGGCCCAAAGGTGCAACAGTCTTTAGCGGAGGCGCGCCGAAAGGTGTAAGAGGATGTGTTGACACGGAGTCTATCCTTTGACCAAAGTCTATCCTTTGAAAGCAAAAAGTCAGCTGTTTCGAAGATGTTTGAAATCTTCCGCCTTTTTTTTCCACTTCGTAGGACTTGTCACTTGTCCATTCCATAATTTATGTATCCCAAGATGATCCGCAACCGTGGTACTTAAGAAACAACTCCATGGTAACGTGATGATACGAAAATCAAATTCTTGGGCACCCAATGTTCAGACGTTCCAACAATTTAAGCCAGGATGAATCATGATGAATCCATCCCGTGTTGACTATAGATCCATTTAAAATCCCACTATAGATCCCATTTATGATTATATCCCACGATTTATGAGGGGAGTAAGCACTTTTCACAGGGTTAACTGTTAACCTCTGCAGGTTGAGGCCCTCCGCGACCTGATGTCCCAGCTGGAGGTGAGATTTCATGGGCATTTTAGAGAAAATTGAGATTGAGCCAAGAAAAATGGCATTTTACCATGTAAAAATGGATTAAAATGGGAGATTTCATTGATTTCATGTGATTCAAACATGAAGAATTCAGATTCAACCTGGAGAGTGGTTGGGAATGGCTGGTTTTTTCTTGGATCCCTGGGTTGCCCTGGAGGCTGAACTGAGCGGTGAATGTAAGGGAAATCATCCCCATAGCTGGCCGCAAGATTCAGGTTAGTGACATATTGTAATTTACCCAGATTGATATTTTGGTCATGGCATCTATGTTGCCAATATGGCACTTATGATGGGTGATGTATTGAACCCTGCATGGTTGGCTGAGGATCAATTGCGCATATTGCTTCCAATTCGGACCCTTTAGCCCAAAAACATCTACCGCAAGGGGTGATATTACATTTGCTAGTATGCAACTTGAATTGACTTCATAATTATTGTAACACCATTGAATCATTGAATGTGCAATCTGGAATTCTGGAAAAGGATAGGAATCCAAGAAGACATCCGGTAGCTTCTTGATTTCAGTTCACCCGTGTCTATAACATTCTATGACCCATATCTGTTGTAGATATTTTGATTTCTGATATCAGATTTTGTAGATATTTGTAGATATTTAGATATTCTACAATCCCCATATCTATGATATTCGCCCCAGTGGTTCTGAGATGACAAGGGCTGGCCATTCCCAAAACTACCGCTAGCCACTAAGTCGCTAGGGGCTGCTCTCGGCACGTCGCACGCAGCGGCTGGTACTGTTGGTGTCCTCGAAGCGCTATCTTGTGACTCGGTCATTTTACCCTCTGGTAATTTGTTACATAGCTATTGAAAAATGGTCATAGAAATAGTGGATTTTCCCATTAAACATGGTGATTTTCCATAGTTTTTTTTGTATGTTTACCAGGCCGGGTAGGTCATTTGCCGGATTTTTCATGGGATGATCCCATGGATCCAATGGTGATATGAAAGTCCCTGGGATGGCTTTGGAGCAGAAGTGGTGTTGCTTGGCTTTGAATTGAAGTCATAGTGACTATAGTGCTTGGTTGGAATGGGATGGAAAAATTAGGGGAACTAATAGTGGTTGGTTGGAATGGGATGCGGATGCGAAAAAGGGGATGCATCGGGATATGGGACAAAACGAACTAACCATGTGGTATTTGGCTTTGTCTGAAGATAGGGGATCATACCCCACAAAGAATCGGATTCATGGAAGAACTTGATGATTGACAGTATTTTTGTTTGGGGGGTGCCTGATTTTCAGGCATTCCCACTCGTCTTCTCCAAAAAATGATGGATGCCCCAAACATGCCAGGAAAACTACAACGAACGATGTGATTCTAGGTACCTGTTGAGCATGACATGTTTTCTTTTGGCAGGTAAGTTCCTTTTTACAACATCTTACGAAACAAGTTTCATGAACCACGGTTTGAAATTCGTGCTGGCTGTTTTGCGGGATGGCGGTATGATTGTTTCGGGTCTCCTTTGAACTTGGATCAGGACCAGGTAATTGGGGTCAGCAACTTGGAGTTCCTGTACTTCAGATGGGAGTAACACCTCAATATGTAATGTCAACCCCGGATCAAAGACCTGTTTGATCAACTGAAAAACCAGGGGGATTGCTCATGGGTTTGTCTAAAACTAGGGTACTTTCGCGAAGATTTGCTGGTGAATAATTCCAATTTTTCAAGATTGCACTTGTTAAGCATCCCCTAAGTTTTAGGCAGACACAACATCCACAGCTGCTGAGGAGCGCACGGCCCAGCGTGTGGAGATCAGCAAGATGCAGCCGCCTGGACGCAGATGGCATCCAGGATGCACATTTTTTTGACCCGAAAATATCGGTGCAAGGTTATATTTATGGGGGAAAGTGACAAATATGGGTCGAAAGGCAAGATAAGCAAGCCACTTTTGTAGCCATTTTTGATCCGATGTATTGAGAATCTAGATCACCGAACATGCGGATAGATTGTAGCCGCAAAGTAACATTGAAGAAGCTGTACAATTTGTACAATGACAAAGCAAAAGGAGAGAGGACTTTGGGGACTACTAAGATATTTGGGATATACCTGGGAGATCACCTTTCTGGTTGGGTTTGGCGCCAAATCCATGATGTGGGCATGGCCCAAAATTGGAACGGAGATGGGATGAGATAGGTACAGCAATCTCAACATCTTTCATCGTTCCCCCGATCTTCAAATGTCAAGCCACCGTCCTGAGTTGAAACGACTGACCCAAACTTGGATCCCCTGAACATCGAGGAAACTGAGGACATTCCCTGACTTTGAGTCGGCCTTCATTTTCCAGTGGTACTCCATTACATGGGCTGCGAGGTGTGGCAAGCCTGCCTCCCGCCGAGCTGCGTTGGAGAAGGCGCAAAATGTCAAAAGATCAATTTTTCATGGGGATTTATAATTGGGATTTAATGGGATTAAACAATCAACAATGGGAATTCTAATCCATTTACCCTCTGGTACCAAAACATCTCTGATGGTATTTTCAGCTCCAAACATTCTTGTATTTTCTGAGTTTTTTTTCCCTCAACATGTCCTCAATCAAAGCTAGCACTTCATTTTTTTAAGGATATGTAAGAGACTTGACTAGCCGTTGCTGAGATGTAGGTGGCTCAACCATCCCCAGTAGTCACTAGTCATTGCCGCCATTGCCCCAGTGACGGCCAGGTGAAGGCAGATCAAATGGCAGAAGCTGGCCGCAGCCGGACGGAAACCCAGCAGTACGCCGTGGGCGCAGTTTTGCTGCGCAGTTCTGGAGATGTGTTTGGTGACCGGCTGGGAGGATAGGAGGGGGCAGCCGGCCACACATTTCCAGCTGGTTCTTGTGGTTGGAGAATGATATTTTCACCAATGGAACCAATGTGAACCCGCTGACTGATCTGACTGTTGCCGCAAAAGAGAAAAACAAACCACCTACGGAGAGTGATCGCCAGCTCAGAATCCCAGGGGTAAGAACATCGTCATCGTTTGGATCTTTCCATTTGGCCATGCTTCCAACAAGTACATCCATCCATCCATGCATTTTTCCGTCCATCCATCAGATGTCTATGTGGGTTCGTCTGAAAATGCGTCAAAAACCTCGAATGCCAATTCGAATCAGGTGATGATAATCCCGTCGATCTGGGGCTCGATTTTCATGCCCCTATCTCTACGTCTATCTCTCCATCATATGGGTTTATCATGGTTTATCTGAACCCCAGAATCCATTGATTCATGATCATTCATCCTTATCCCCCTTCATATGCTTATTTTGAGGGTATACCATGGTATACCACATTTTCAGAGACACTCATTCTTTTGATCTCCGTTTGGCCAGGTTGCTCACAGCCATCAAAGAGGTGAAAGAAGACCTGGAGGCGGTTGTAGCCCCCATTTTGGTTGCCCTGATAAGTAAATCTTCATGTGTTATGGGAAACTACATCAATCAGGGTGTAATGGGATGGAATGGGATGCAATGGGAATATACTTTGGTCATGATCTCTTTCTGTGATTTCAGTTTTCCAGGAAACTTGGGAAGTTTGACCTCGAGTTTTGATCTGAGCCAGGCCGAGTTGACTGCACACTTCAAGCCCGGCCCCCCAGGCTTTTCAGCTTCGATCCTCGAACATCCTCAAACATCCTCAGGGTATTGCACCACCAGTCACCAGCATTTGGATCATTTGGTTGTAGCTGCCATTGGTTTCTCCAATGGCTCCAACTAGCAGCTAGAGGCTCAGCCAGAGGATAGGTCTCGGATAGGTCTTTCATGGCAGGTCCAGCGTGCGAATCTTGAACACTTCGACCTGATGGGCAAAAAAAAGGCACCGAGACTCGGCCAAAATATGGCCCAAGTGCGACCTGAAGTTCTGCAAAAAATCGCTGGAGAATTTGAGAGTCAACTGATATTTTTTTGAGTACCACTACACAATTGAATACAGTATCCACTCAAGTGACAGCAAGGTTTCCGGAGCGTCGCCGGAGCATCATATCAAGATGTATATGATTTGTTGCCAAGTTCTTGGTTCAAGCCAACTCTGGCACAGAGTGCATTTTTGAAAAAGCGACCACATTGTCAATAGTGCTTCCAGTCTCAAATGCCGCATTCAACATCCCGAAAGCAAAGTTGACATGTACTGGTAGGGCCCGCAGCAACATCCACCAGATTCTTCAAACATTTTGCCAACATTTGACCAACCATCACAAAGATTCGCAAACATCAAGTCAAAAAAAAAGTGAATCCACAACATTTTGCCCCAAAAAGTGGATCAACATGGATCAACATGATTTTCGTCGATCCATTTGTTTCTTTCACCACTACCCTCTGGTAAACATACAAAAAAACTATTGAAAATCACCAATTTTCATGGGAAAACTCACTATAAATGGCCATGTTCAATAGCTATTTTGACATAACCAGAGGGTTAACATCCATTTTCCTATGGTTTTCCTATGGTTTTCCCATTAAAACCTCCATTTTCCTATGGTTTATGGCGCCATGAGTCGCCGCCGCGGCCCCGGGGCCGGGGCCGCGGCGCTCCCCGTGGCGCAGCGGCGCTGGATCAGCCGCGAGGAGCTGTGGACGCACCGCTGGCGACGCTGCCCGCAGGGCGTGGGGCAAAACTGCTGGGCGCCTTGGAGTCTTTGGGAGATGACATGGACAAAACACGGAAAAAAAGGGTTGAAATATAATGATATATATATGTATATAAATATATATGTATATATATATGGATACATTATACTGCATATATATATTATATGTATATACACACATAATCTTGCGCTTTTTCGAACTATCTTTTTCCAAAGCTTTGATGGCTTAGGAGAAACCAAATGGGAAATGAACATGGTGCAAAGCCAACCAGGTTTCCATCCGTGGACTGGTGCTGCAACTCCCAGCGGAGCTCCTTGGCAGGTGATTTTCATCTGTCACCTTTAAGGGGGGCAAGTAGGGGTTTCCATAAATGGTGGTACCCCACATTTATGGATGGTTAATTTCATGGAAAACCCATCTATTAAATGGATGAGAACTGGGGGTATTTCGGGTACTATTTCAGGAAACCTCCAAGTGTTTTTTTTTCAAAGGGAAGTGCTTTTTCTCTGGCTGTTGGATTTGCAGTTCAGCAAACCAGCGTGGTGCCAGGTTGTTTGCACAGCACCCCGGTGGGACAGACGTTCTGCGAGATGCCGCGGGGCACGATGTGTTGGGAACCCAAGGGGCACGTTGCAACGGGTGAAACCCTGACGTGTCAGGATCTCTACCGTGTTGTGTGGGGCAAGAAAGGGGAAGGTGCCCATCCATTCAGATATTCTGGGAAAGTAGTTATTACATTACATGTAATTGCTATAGTTATAGCTATAGTAAGTGCCACAATCACTGGATGTTTCTTGCACACTAGATGCTCTTGAAGGTGGAGGCGGGCCTTCCCCATATTTTCGCGGTGAAAGTATTGTTGAGTTGGAAAGTACCTGGGGCAACAGCAAAAACCTGTGGCCTGCGGCACAACCATCCATTTCCGCTTGTTGATGATGTTTGTTCCAATATTTTGTGAGTTTTTGAGGGTGTCAATGGTTCCATCCCCATTTTCATCCATTTTTACCTGATTCAGTCCCGGTGTTTGCTTTAAGTCACCTTAGATCATCTTAAAAATCATCTTAAACAATCTGAATCAGTATCTAACAATCTTGGAGAACATCTTCAGGCATCTTAAATCCACATGTTTGCTGGTGAAGCCCATGTTTCTTGTTGCATCCGGCAAGCCCCCGGCCATTTCTTCGCTTGGGGCTTTGCTGAGGACCGATGCCTTCGAAGCTGTTCATGGCGATGAGGCGAAAGCCTGGGCCGATGCCTATGTGATTGGCATCTCGGCCGATGCCTTGGCGTTGGGATTTAGGGATTTTTCACATGGGTATATGATCAATGGTGGTTCACAGATAGATTTTTATAATAGATATTGGGGCAGATATAATATTTATAATGGCTATATGATCATGTTATATTGATCAATCATCTTTAACCATCCAATAGATGGGGTAATGCAGATATAATGGGTATATGATCAATGATGAAACAAGGGTTGGATGGGGTTCAGTCATGTGACTATGGTTTTTCACCAAAAGGGAGGATGGGTTGAGATGACGAGCGTAGTCTTGGGATGGCTTAGAATCACCAACCAGCCTGGTTTTAGATGGTGATTTCATGGTGATTTAAAACCTTGGAACGAGGTGGTGAACCCAATGACACAAATCTTCCATTGGGGATGGCTCTCTACAGCCTATTTCTGGTCAGTCATTGGGGTATGACAAGGTGGGCTTTTCCTGGCTAGGCTGGTCTACAATCATTCAGCAAACTGGGCTGATGGGTTGCTGGTGGATGGCGAGGCCCACTTTGTAGGGAATGTCTCCAAGATTGAAGAACCCCAATCATCATTATCGGATATTTATATGGATAATATCCACATGAGGATTCCTGGTGATATATTGGGCTATATATCCCCGCCGTTTTGCCATTTTTCCCCGACAAGGCCAAGCGGTATCTTTTTTGGGTATTTCCCCATGAGGCAGATTAGGATGTGGTGGGAAATGGCACCGCCCAACCGGTCGAGTACTGCGTATTTCCCCCACAATTCAGGACATCATTGAGGACATCGCGTCTTTGGTTAACAACATGTGTGTCTCTCATGTTTCCCTCAAAGATCGGGCCAATTTTGATGTATATATATATACATTATACTATATATATACATTATACTATATATATACATTATACTATATATATTATACTATATATACACACACTATAATATATATATATGCACGTATGTATGTATACATATGTACACATATATATATATATATATATACACAGTACATATAATTATATATAATTATATATATATATATATATTCGAATATTTGCGGCAGAAATCTGGACATACCTTGCATTCATGTTTGGTGCTGGGAGGGCCGCAATCTTTCACTGAGGCTACTGCCCTGAGGTCTATCACCAGGCAGGAATCCTTCTAAAGTGCAAAACTGGTGGCATGTCTTTCTGGTTACTTCTGGTTGGTTTCAAATGGATGTTAGTGACCATGGCACTTCCGTGACTGATGTCTGTTTCTCGGTGGAGTCTCAGCTCCTATAGCCCAACCCTGGGACCCTGCTACATGGCAATGGAAAACTGGCCACATACAGATTTACTAAACCATTGTTTTTTTTTTCCAAATTTTCATGTTAGAAATGTTAGAATTAAAGAATAATCGCGATACCGTCTGGTAATTTAACATAGCGAACTGGAAAATCACCATTTTATAGCTGGGTAAATCCACTATTTCAACTGGGCCATTTTCAATAGCAAACTGTTAGTTTACCAGAGGGGAGATATTATTCAATATTGCTGGAGCATCATTAACCATCATTAACCATCATTAATCATCATTAATCACCATTAATCACCATTAATAACCATTAATAACCATTAATAACCATTAATCACCATTAATCACCATTAATCACCATTAATCACCATAAATAACCATTAATAACCATTAATAACCATTAATCACCATTAATCACCATTAATCACCATTAATAACCATTAATAACCATTAATCACCATCAATAACCATTAATAACCATTAATAACCATTAATAACCATTAATCACCATTAATCACCATTAATCACCATTAATAACCATTAATAACCATTAATAACCATTAATCACCATTAATCACCATTAATCACCATTAATCACCATTAATAACCATTAATAACCATTAATCACCATTAATAACCATTAATCACCATTAATCACCATTAATCACCATTAATAACCATTAATAACCATTAATCACCATTAATAACCATTAATAACCATTAATAACCATTAATAACCATTAATAACCATTAATAACCATTAATCACCATTAATCACCATTAATCACCATTAATCACCATTAATCACCATTAATAACCATTAATAACCACCATTAATATTTCCCATCCATGTTGCCGTTTCGTGGTCATCCCTGGAGGCGATCCCGCGACACTTGACACCGGGACGACATGGGTGCCGCCGCTGTGCGACATGCCGCCTGGTGGCTTGGCCGTTTTTTTCGACATGGCGAAATGGCTTGACATCTGAAAACAGGGGAAACACATCAACAAATATGGAGGTTTTAATGGGAAAACCATAGGAAAACCCTAGGAAAATGGATGTTTACCCTCTGGTAAACTAACAGTTTGCTATTGAAAATGGCCCAGTTGAAATAGTGGATTTACCCAGCTAGAAAATGGGTGGATTTTCCAGTTCGCTATGTTAAATTACCAGAGGGTATACATAATATAAATTAAACACTCATTCTAGGTGGATTTTAGCTATGCCTTCAGTTTTTTTTCAAGATGATTATAGAATATTATAGATAGGTTTACCATACATCCCACTAAAGGGTACACTCGGAGAGGACAGCCACCAAGGAGATACATAATATCCATCGAACTAGGAGCCTCTAATCGCTTTCATGGGTATAACTGGCAGTTCTGACAACCGAGACTTGTAGCACCGTGATGGCAGGGCTAGCCATGCAGGTTCACTTTAAAAATCTATTTATATCAGCTGTTGACTTCCATGGTCTTATCAATGGGAAGAATGTTTATGATATTGTGATATATTGTGTTGCGATGGAAGATGGTGCAGTTGGATATTCTTTACCGCAACAGCTGAGAAGCTCACTGCATTCTGTGCAAGAGTCACTTGCAGCACTTGCATTTGATGATTGCGATGTGGATCAAATTTTCGTCATCGTCCCAACATCGGATGGCTCGATAAAGTACAGAACAATTGCCGCATCTTGGGAATCAATTCTAGTTGGATTAGGGGATAGTCTAATTACAAACCCAACATTCTAATTTCGAAAGAAGGATTCTAAATAGCCAATGTCCGATTTCACCGCAAAAAAACGAAGAACACACGGATTCTGATCATAGTGTATATTTGATTTACCCTTATGAAAATTCTATGCACTCAAGAATCGGAGTTCCATAATATGAGGAGATTAACATCCACTTGCTGAAAAAAACTGCTGTTCCACCAGACCCTCAGGGTTCCGACCTAGCAGCCAAAATGACGAAGATTTGCGCCAGGTACGGTTGGTTTCCTGGTTCTTCTTCATCATCAAACGCATCCTCCTGGGTCGATACTTGGACAGAATTGCTGGAATGGACACTAAAAGTGGATGCTCAGCTACACAGATCTACAGAAATTGTGGATGTTTTCGGATTTACCAATCTGCGGTTTGTCAAAAATCAAATGGGGTTTGGTCCAAAAAAGGGTCACCCCATTCCAGAGGATGAGCACTTTGCCCTTAACAGTGCTGGGCACTGTTGGGCTTTGACCATCGCAAGTTCTGACTGATTGTTTGGTGCAGCTGGAAGAAATCCCCCAACTATCCAAGGAGGTGTTTGATCCAAGGAGGTTTATAGCTGGGAAAAGAATCGAGCTATTTCTGGGAGATTTTCCAGCAAACCCATGGAGCTGAGTACCTGAGGGCCATCAAGCAATGAAGAAGATGCTTTTCCGAAGCAATGGATGTTGAAACAACGTCAGACATACTCGTAGCTGGATTAGAGCCATGGCGGCCTTGCCCACCAACATCCCTGAACGGTTGGACAAGCCGAGGAAGAAGCTGATGAGAAGGAGCCGCAGGCCGAGCCAGATCGATGCTGCGACCTTCAAGGCACAGGAGTTGTGTGCTCCATCTCAGTCTCATTTGAAGTGAACATGGATGACATTGAAATGCGGACCATGACAAGATTCAGGATCCTCCAGAAATTGAATCGCTTGCCTCGCAGGCCTTCATACACAAGTACGTCTGTGGACGTCACTGTTGAGACTAGCTTCAAGAGCTGAAGAGTGAGCATCTCGGACAGTCGACTTGTCCGATCTTTCCATCATTTTCCATATGGTTAACCAAAAGATCCAAAAGCAAAAAATAGCTGGTAAATGGATAGCATGATATAATGATAATAACACTATATAACACTACTATAGCTGGTTCATCCCCATCTTGCTCTGGCTGTTTGGAGCAGTGAGTCCACTTCAGTCATCACTACCTGGGCGCTTTGTTTCTTTGAACAATTCACCATGGATACTCCGGTTTTGGCAGGCCGTCACACGGATTCTTTACATGATACCCTCTGGTAAACTAACATAACTGTGGAAAATGGCCCATTTATAGATGGTTCACCTATTAAAAATGGTGATTTTCTATAGCTATGTTAGTGTACCAGAGGGTACTAGTACTAATTGTGAGACGTTTTCCTACACCCAACCAAGGCAGCTGAAGCACAGTTTCGACCCACAGCCTCAGATGCCATGTCCTACTTCGTTGGGCACAAAGCGGTCGAGAAGGGTCATCTTGAGGATGCTGGTTTTGCCATCAACGGTGGAAAGGGATGGTCGAACGTGGTTTTTGATAACCATAAAATCGATGTCAGCGGCAATGTTGCCATTGCCATGGGCAACTACTTCTTCACCAGCGCTGCAGATAGCAATGGTGTCATCATCCCACCAGTGGCTTCCGTTGACGATGGGTTCAAACAGCTCATTGCGCTTGCAAAAAGGATCGTTAACTGATCGTTGTCGATTGGGACAGGCCTTGATTACACTGAGGTTAGAGGTAGTGTCAATGAATCTGCACAATCTGCACTCGCATGTGGGAAGTTTGTTGCACACTGGTGTCTTTGTGCTTGTCATGACACGATCCAGTGGCTGGCAGGGCCTTTTTGGCTTTAGGGTGGGGTTTAGAGGGGGCAAGATGAACCCTCTCCACAAGGATTTGGCCGGATGCTCAATGGGGGAAGATCCGCTTCCCATCTTTCTGGTTAAACCCATATATTCCCAAAATCACAGCATTTGCCCTGTAAGACCTTTGGGCACCATAGTTTTTCGGGCGAAAAGAACAAGGTATGGAGACAAACTCTGGAAAAGGAGCTGGACTTGTGGTGCTGTCAACAACTGGGTCGGGCAGCACAGCAGCAGGGATGGTGATTTGGGTATTGTTCCAAATTATTTCTTCCATTTTGGTAGAAATCCAATTTTTAATCTGGTATATTGGAACATTGGGTGGATATTGGTGGATGTTGAAACTTCAAGACCCAATTTTTGTTCGATGGGCACCGGATTTCTCAGCCACAGCTATGTGTGAAGCAATGATCTAGCAATGCCTTTACTGGGGTATTTGTGATGTTACCACTGGGAAAACCTTTCAATCGCCCTATTGGCTTTCTTTCTTGGGTCGCACAGGGGTGGGTTTGATTCATGTTACCCAGGGTCTCCAGATGGAAAAAATGCGCCCTCCTCAAATCCCAATTTTTTCCCAACTATACTTTGGCCACATGGGGCCATTTGTTGGTTTCGAGGTCAGGCTCATCCTAGCACAAAAACAGCTTTGTCTAAAAATAAGATTAATTCCATTCCATCCCAATAGACAGAATCATTTTCTCCATGAACATGCCATGTATTTGGAGTATATTGTGCTCCTTTCTGGACCACTTTTTTTTTATATAATGGCATCCCGTTATATCCCATTTTTCATCATTTGAGCAGTGTTCAAAAGCACTGTTTATGGATAGTGAAAAAGAGAGGTTATACATTTCTGTAGCCTTAATGAACTGGGAAACTGGGTTTATCTGGTTTTTAACCAAGCAGTATTTCATGGAATGGCTTGGGCAAGCTCGTGACCTGACCCTTCTATTGTACATACCCCGTATTGTTGGCTACTTGTTCCTTACATCCCTGTCAATCCACAAGGTGGTGCCCCCCAGTTATAAATGGGTCATAATGTCATTAACTATAGATATATATAACATTATATAACCTATAAACTTAAAACATCTTAAAACTATAAACTATAGTTATTGGACTTATAAACCAACTTAGCTAACTATGGGGCACCAGCCTGCATTGTATCCCCGTTTTTCCTGGGTTTTGAAGCCATGGCTTGCATAGTGAGGCGTGTCGAAAGACGCTCCACTCCAAGATGTGCGGAACAAGGAGCCGTGGAACACGGAACGTTGATGGATTCAAGGGTGATAGATTGGATAGACTATGGATGTTTATAACATATGACATATATATATATATATATACATATACACATATATATATGATATACATATATCATATATATATATGATATATATATATATATCATATATATATATGAATGATATAAATACATAAAGAATGATCAGCATGATGTAAGATGTATAAGTATGGATCCATAAATCCAATTTATAATGTCTATCCAACAACGAATGGGATGTACATGATGATCCGTGACCCAATAGGATGATACATGATGATACGCCTGGATCTTTGGATCATATTGGATGTGTAGCTCCAGAAATTTCCGATACTCATTGAGTTGAATACTGAATGCTACCCTCTGGTTATGTCAAAATAGCTATTGAAAATGGCCCAGTCGAAATAGTGGATTTTCCCATTAAAAATGGTGATTTTCCATAGTTATGTTAGTTTACCAGAGGGTAATCATACTGGCCAATTTTTCAATATTTTTCAATCAGTGTGGCATGTCACAGAATCATGAATGCAGAGAACGCTCCAAGCAATTTTTGTGGTTAAAAGAAACATGGTCTACTGGTTTACGGTAAATGTTCCATGCAGCCAATTCGTTAAGTGACTTGGATCTGGGCCAAGTTTTGTGATCCCAAAAACTTGGGACAGGAAGCCAAGCCGAGCGAACTTCGATTGCCTCAAGTTGGACAGAAAGCCAGTGGTGCCCAGTGTGGGGAAGTGGTGTGAATGTTGAGTTTCTCCAACCAACTAGGGATTTAAAGCAACAATTCTATGCGACTCACAGTGGGATATGATGGGACGTATCGCAAACAATATGAGAGAGATGGCTTTGCCTAAAAACAGGTGCATCTATCCCAGTTTCATGGCAAGTCTGCTAGGGCAAATGATGTTCTAGACTGAACCATGGATGGAATGGGGCAATGCTCGCTGATGGTTGCACGGCCTATACTACCAGGCTGGATGTAGCAACACAACACCTCTACTAAACATGGAGACTGTCTACATATATAGCAAAAACCATCGAACAGTCGAATCCCGCTAAGATAGTGATAAGTTCATGTAAATTCCATTTCCATTTTTGTAAATCATAGTATCACTTTTTAGATTAGTGATCCCATTTTTTTTGGGGATTACTAGTTACCTGGGGTTGCGATCGTATCGTTACTATCGTCCGCGGGTCGCCATTCATTTCGTCGCGTCTGAGGTCACCATCTCAGGGTCCCGCAGGAGGTGAGAGCCTCGATGGTTTCAGCATGGTTAGATGAGTTTTATTCTGGTTTCAACCAAAAAATCATGATGGTAATTTTGGTCATAAACATATCATATACTGATGGTTTTCTGGAGATTTCTGATAGTTCTCTGAGTTTCTGATATAGCGAGCGGAAGACAACGACAGCTTAAGGTACACTGCCGAAAGCGTTGACGACTTTATCACGCCCAGCTTTTTGATGTGCCAAGGCCAGATTTGAATGGCCTCCAAGGAGAGATTCTGGGCGACAGCCGGCATGCACAGATGGGGGCCTTGTAGGACGGCCTTGTAGGATCACCCTGATCTGCTGAATGCTTCGAAGACCTGCACCCTGATTTTCGTAGGGGCTTTTCAAATGTTGAAAAAACACTCGAATTGGAAAACCATGGAGGGTAGGCTTTGCCAGAGTTTGTCACATTCGTTTGAACACTGGACACCTTAAAAACCTGGGAGTTTAGCAACGAAACGAAGGAAATCACATCAAATTGGTTGCTACAAGATTGGGACACACCTGATGGCACTAACTTGACCAAGGATTGTTAGGAGTTCTCACCCAGATGACTCTGTCCAGAAATGTGGGAGACCCCATTTTTTATGGCCGACAAAAAAAATAGGGACCTCCATTCAAAAAGGTTCCAAAAAGCCTGCAGTTCTCCCCCAAAAAAAGAGGTTTATATGGGGGTGTTTCATATTGTTGATTCTATTCATCTATTCCCATGAACCAAAAATGTCCACGAATTTCTGAAGCTCATGGATTCCGATGCCCAGGTGATAACGCTGGTCGTTTGGAAGTCCGGGTAGATCGCCCCGGAGGTCCTGGTCGAAGGCGCAGCATGGCCCAGCATCCTGGCGCGTTGCATGGCGCAGCAACCGTTTCCAGTGCTTGGGACGACCGTAAATTCCCGAGTAAAATTGCCATACCCTCTGGTAAACATACAAAAAACTATGGAAAATCACCATTTTTAATGGGAAAATCAACTATAAATGGGCCATTTTCCATGGCTATGTTAAATTACCAGATGGTAAATTGAAGTGATCCAATCCAAGGGATGTTTGGACGCAGTTTTGATGAGTTTTGCTGAAAAAACTTCAGATTGCTTCAAACAACTTCAGAAGCCAGAGATTTTGATCGGAAGTGGATCCTTGACTTGGCAGGTTTGACCCAATATTTACACATTATGTAGATAGATATATGACATATATGGAGGTTTCCTGAAATAGGGGTACCCCCGAATCATCCACTTATAGATGGGATTTTCCATTATAAACCATCCAGCTATTGGGATACCCCCATTTATGGAAACCCCCATATATCAGCATTTATTTCTGGTCATCTTCTCCATATAAATCATATAATCTCAACCCCATTCATGCTGGCCAAAACCGCGCCCCACGAGGATTGAACAAATCATTCGCAGAAATGGTTGAAGTAAAAATTGCAGAGAAACTCGGATCGTTGGTGACTAACATAGCTATTGAAAATGGCCATTTTATAGTGATTTAATGGTGATTTAATGGTGATTTAATGGTGATTTAATGGTGCTAAGAACTTACGCGTTTTCGACACCTGTCAACACATCCATTACATCGATCCGTGGAATCCGCGGAATCCCGGCCAGGATGCGCATCAGCGGCCATCGTCTCTCCAGATCATTGTCAATGGCTGGCATTTCGGCGGCTTCGACCTGAGGAAGTGTCCAGTTCGATGGTGATTCGTGGGGGTTTCCATTAATATGGGTACCTCAAAATGGATGGTTTAGAATGGAAAGTCCCATCTATAAATGGATGATTTTAGGAGTAGCTTGATTTTAGGAAACCTCCATTTGGGGAACCAGCCAAGAATCTGAATTAACCCTGGGGAAGAACGTGGACATCTTCAATAAAGACCAGTCATTCTTCTACAACCTTCGGATTGTTTCTAGTGATTAAACAAAGTCAAGGATCTCAATGGGGAAAAATCGTCATGGGAGAATAGTTGGAAAAAAATAGATAACATATTTGGATAATTAATTGTGAAGAAACTATCCATATTTTTTTCAAAAATTGGGTATATCACTACGACTGGATAGTTTATGGGACCCCCACATGGTTAGTTGTTGGGATAGTTTATTGTAGAGCTTCGCACACCGGCGACGCCACAAGGGTTATGTTGGTAGTGAGAGTGTTGGTGTTGTTTATGTGCTCTGTGCACGCGCGCACTCGCGTAGAGCACAGTGTGATATTCTTTACATACCGCAGCTTGTAACCATCTTACCACACATCTTTTTGTCGCATTTTGGTGTGCCCTAATAGGTGGTGTTTTCACGTTTTTTTTGAGAGGAGCACAGAACACCGTAAATACCGATGTGTTTGGCGCCTCGGAAGCCAAAAGCACCGGTATTTACGATGTTTTGTGCCACTGGTAGCAAAAACCATGGTATTTGCAGTGTTTTGGAGACATCACCTAGCAAAAACATTGGTATTTACAGCATGTTGCAAAAAGTAGTCTTTATATGCAAACAAAAACATCTTCTTCTTCTTCTTCTTCTTCTTGCTTTCTCAACGTGTTTTTGGTCCCCTCTTCTTTGACGCGCCCCCTGCTGTCGGCAGGAGCCGGCGGATTATAAGCTTTACCAGACTATCATGTTTCCTGTGGCCGCAGCTTTACAATATCCGAAAACGGCGCGTGGATAAGTTGAGATATGCTACTCGATTCCACGATCTTCCGAGGTTGACAAACCACTCCCTGAGATAAAGAGTTGAGAACTCAGCAATCTTTTTGGATTTCCATGGTTTTTCCATTTTTTTTGCCTGCAACAAATTATTTCTCTTGGTAAATTGAGGTTGAAGAACTTGATGCCCCGCTTGGCGAAACGTTTCTCTGCGACCAAAGTTCGTCGCGTGAAGGAAAATCCCCCGTCTAGACGCCCTCAAAGAGTGGCGGATTCTGTGATCATTTTTGCCACACCGGTTGTGAGATTATGGATTTCCACGAAAACACGAAGGACGGCTTCCAAATTATAAAGGAATGAACTCTTTGGATTTTGCAGAAGAGATAGACTTGGCATTGCTGAACATAGTGGGTGGAAACATATTTCACCCATAGCCATCGCTGATGGGTTTGGAGACCGTGCACTTAATGCCCTGCCAGCCATTCACCCTGGAGTCAATTTTCAACAGATAGGTTTGCAAACCCAATTGCTTAGTTGTAGCATGTCGTAACCCCACTAATTCAGGGTCTAAACCAGTTTCTAAGTTAACCAAATTCTTTGCTGAAACAGTTGGAACATTACCATAATCATACTTCTGACAGTTCAATTGCTAGGATCTCAGCATCGCAACGGTCTCCAAGCCGACATGGTGTGACGCACACCGACGCGTTTCGTCGCTGCTGCGTGAATTACACCAGGGGAAAAACCAGTGCCTTTGGTAAGTCTTACTGTTACAGCAGGCAACATTTTCCCTCATTTTGTGACTCCCATGTTCCTCCAATGGAGCAAGCAACACGTCGGCAAATGAATCATAAATCGAACTCACCCCGTAAATGGATCTGCCACTGCAGATGATGATCAATTTTTCATTTCTTTGCTGCCCATAATTTGTTCAGGTACTTGGCATGGTGAAAACGTGAAACTTTGGTAAGTCCTACACTCCTACTTACACCTTAGAAGTCCGAGAAAATATTTGCCTATCTATGGCACTGAAACAAAAAACCCATAACCCACCTCTGATTGGCAAAACTTGCAGTGTTCAGACTTGCCTGCAGCCCTGAACGCTTGGAGAATGGCAAAAAGCCAACGAGACGGATTCAAGTCATTGGGGTTCTGGACCCACAGTCGTTGCGGACCGGTCTTTCTTGGTAAAAACTATGCATTTTTGGCCAACAGTTTTTAACCCATAGTTCAAATGTCAATCCCTCTCTGGTTGGATCGCAGTAGGCCCTCCAGAAGTCGAAGCCATGACAGATAGATCAGAAGTGAATGACAAGTTTTGAAAGCCAAAAACCCCACTGAAAAGGGTGGCCAATTTAAGATTTTCTTAGAACACCAGGGAATGGCCGTACTCATAATTCATTTTTTAAAACTATCCCTGGTATACCCCATTCCTCCCATTAAAAATGCGTCAGCTGCCTCACCTGGCGCGCCATGCGTCATGGTGCTGGTTGGGAAGACGCAACATGTGCCGCACTCAGGGGGTCAGCCTGGTGCTCACCCAGCCATGGGAATTTTGATATACCAGTAGAACATATGATATTCAATATTTAAAGATGAACATTTACCGGCGGATTCGGGGTATCCATGATTTTTGGACACATCACGATAAAAACCTAAACTCTACTGACCCATTCTTTCTTAAGGGTAGGTTCATAGAATTATTCTTGTTCTTGTTTGCTGTTTCGTTTTTGTATTGTTCTTTGCTTCTTTGTCTTGTTTTGCTGTTTGTTGAGGGTGCTTTTGATTTGTAATTTTGGATTCAGTTTGGGTGGGGATGTGGTCAGTTGCATCGATTTCATTGCAATGTGTATGCTGGTGCCATTCCACGTTTGGCGGTCTTATCCATCCCCATGGGGCCCATGGGGTGTTAGCAGACGTGGCAAACGCTGGAACATCTCCTATTTATAGATCTTTTTTCCATTAAAACCTCCATTTTTGGGAGGAGTTCCCCATGATTTCCTGAGGTTTTTCCCAATGAAAAACCTCCATTGATTGGGAGGATATGTCCAGGCAAAAGGGCCACATTCTTCCAAGGTCCATGCCCTCGCGGGCGGATACTCAGCCCATGATCTTGAGAGAGCTGGTGCGACCCAAGGTGCGTTCTCTGGGGCTTTGAAATATGCCAGGGTTTATACATGCATGTGTGTGTATATACGTATATATATTTACATATGTGTATATACAAAATATATCAGAATATCATTAATACAGTGCAATGTATTGGTATTACTATATTGTAACATTATTGTAACATTATTGTAACATATGTAACATACTGTTGATCTATTTGTATATCCCACCACTAGGAAATGACTCGGAAAACAAGTCTGTACCCACATTTATTGAACCAGATCCGTCGTTTTTGATTTCATAACCCAAAGCGTGGATATAACAACATCCAGATCTCATTCGCCGAGACAAAGGGTGCAACATGGTGCAACTTTGCTAGGAGCAGTCTGAACTTGCCTTCTTCTGCACAGACACAGCTGCTGGGTTTGCTACTCAGACAGCTGCAAAGCAGAACTTTTGAGATAGGACATGAGTGCAGATGCTTCTCAATGTCATATATGGAGGGTTAACACTCCTTTGAGATGCTCGTTTTCGTTGTAGATTTGGCCAGAAGGCACCAGATCCAACCAGATTCTTTCTGTTCAGCCATTTTAGGGCCCAAACATTTTCGTAGCGACACCTCCGAAACCGCCATGGCGAAATCGTTGCTGATCCCCGCGATGCTCACCGGTGCCGCGGCCTTCGTGGCACCCACGGCAAACCTCCGCGCCACGGCCGCGCCCGAGGCCGGCGCGGCGCCGGCGGCGGCAACGGCGACCGGCGCGCGGGCGGCGGCCGCGGCGGCGCTGCTGGGCTGCGGTGTGGTGGCGGCCACACGGCGCCCGGTGCGCCGCACCCCAAAGGCGACCACGGTGGCCATGCGTGCGGAGAATCCAAGGGTGGAGAAGTTGAGAACCATGGAGAAGACCGTGCAGGTGGGGGATTTAAAGGGACATTTGGATGATTTGGATGATTTGGGATGGACGCCAGATTAATGCGCAAGCTTTTTCGGGAATGGAATTGGGCTTTTTGGGATTGATATCCTGTGACTCTAGCGCAGAAAAACACCCAGAATCAGAGGACAAGGACCCGAATAAAACATAAATTTCAAAGTATGAATGAAGCAAGTCTGTTCTGGAAGTCCAAAAACTATGAAGCGGCCAATACCTTTGGTGCCCCAAGTCGCCTCATAGATCCTTCGAATGATGTAAGTTCCTGTGGACTAGTATAAAAGCACTGTCATTCAAACGAGTTCTATTAAATCATGGTTTTATGACTATTCTGGTGAACACATCTCGAAACATCTCCATTCACCAATCATTGGACCAATGAGTATCAAACAGATTCCCATCCCAGCCCAGCGAGCCCGGCGAGCAAGGTGAGCCCATCGATTCTTTCCGCAGACTTTGCCAAGCTGGGCCAGGAGGTGGGAGATGTCCTGCAGGCCGGTGCCGATTGGGTGCACGTTGATGTGATGGATGGCCGCTTCGTGCCCAACATCACCATTGGTCCTGGCGTTGTCTCTGCCCTCAGGAGACCGAGAGATGGTCAGTCGTTGGTGACAACATGGGATGATTGGGATGGTTTGGTTTCGCAACGGGGGGATGAGCGGCGTTTGAAAAAAACTCAGGAAGGCATTCCCGGCGATCAACGACGTATTTTTCTGTTTCCAAGTCCCGTCATTCCCATTCCCATACCCCTCCAATATTGTTGTCATATGTTGTTATATACTTGCTGCCACTCTGACTTAGCATCTCTGATGATCTTGCAGAACATCTACCCTCTGGTAAATTAACATAGCTATGGAAAATCACCATTTTAATGGGAAAATCCACTATTAATGGCCATTTTCAATAGCTATTTTGACATAACCAGAGGGTAAGCTGGTCAGGAAGGCTCACCCCGATGCGGTGCTCGATTGCCATCTGATGATCGTGGAGCCGGAGCAGCGCGTTGAGGACTTCGCCAAGGCCGGCGCGGACATCATCTCTGTGCACTGCGAGGCCGAAGCAAAGGGGAACGGTATGGAACGGTTTTTTGGGGTGGGGGGGAAACCACAGCAGATTTTGGGTGATTTTTCGTTGGGGATTTTGAGGTGCACTTCACAAACGCTGCAGATGCAAGACTTGTTCTTATAAGTTTGATGTAATCCAGTAAAGAGAGATGGGGAGACCGCTAAAGTAAGCTCAGTTTGAAGAATAATTGGCAAAACTGCAATGCTTGGATTTCCAAGACTCTGATTGAAAGAAGAGGCATTGCCAAGTTCCTGGTAGAACCTTTCCCCCTTGAGCCTGTTGGTGTGCGAACTTTGGGATTTGATAGGATTTGATAGTGCCTTCGAAGTGGGCATTGCTATCATTGCCATGGGTTTTGTACAAAGACCCATGGAAATCCATACTCTAAGAACAGGCAGAGACCCTTGGTGGAAAGAGACAACACCTAAGGAGGTATTGCTCAAATTCTGGACGGCAGCCATCCCAAGTGACTGCAAGTCCCATGGGTTGGGAGTGCCCCATAGTCAATAGGTGTAGACATCCAAGCGTATTGCCAAATTCCCATCATTTCATCATCATTTCATCATCAGTCATCATTCTTGGTCCTTAATCATCAAATCATCCTCATTTTCCACATGTTTCTCCATCTTTGACTGTGAAATACCGTGAAATACCGTGAAATACCGTGAAATACCGTGAAACTCACGATTCTCATCCAGTAGCGCATCTCCCAGGCATCACAGTAAGTAGCACCTGCTTCGACCAGGCTGCTTCGACCATCCACCTGCACCGTACGCTGAACCAGATCAAGTCTATGGGCTGCATGGCCGGTGTGGTCTTGAACCCAGGCACCCCCCTGTCGCAGATCGAGTACGTGCTCAGCGAGGTTGGATCGGTTGGATGCTGGGATGAGGAGACAGTCAATGGATGGGTTTGTTGGATTTGTTGGGGAAAATCTAGAGGAAACCATGGATTTTCGAAATATGGGGCATTCGGAATGGCATCCGGCATTCCTGTTTTCGATTCCCCAACAAACCAATCCATTGAGGAAGGGATGGTATCATGGCGTCGAAGGGTTGAAATCAATGGGGATCCAAAGGTGCGGTTTTTTTTGGGATCTGACAGGTGGACTTGGTGCTGATCATGTCCGTGAACCCTGGCTTTGGGGGTCAATCTTTCATTGAGTCGCAGTTGGACAAGATTAGGTGCGGGATGGTGCAGGGGGTGGAGAGTTGCTGACCTATAGGAGTAGGTCTAGGCACAGCTCTTGATTTTTGGAACATTTTGGAACATACGATGTCTTGAGACATTTCTACCCTCCATTACCCTCCCCATTCCTTGTCAACAGATGTAGTGCAGGGAGGCCAGTCAAAAGGCACTTGCTCGGTGTGTTGAATGCCAGCCCAAACGATACTGTGGCCACCACCCGCCAAATGAAATGGTTTACAATGGTTGACATAGTCAGTACATACCAAAAGCAATGTATCTTTTTTTCGACTTTGGAACATTTAATATATTATATTTTCCGTTTGCCGCTAATAGCCTCTAATAAGCCACTAATAGATATCCTAATGATTGCAGAAACCTCCCAAGGTTTTGCATATAACATTCAGTACCCAGCCGAGTTTTTCGGATCAATTGAGATAGGTAAGGGTCACTCACCCCTTTTTTGTTTCTTGAAAGCCAAGCGATATTTTCTCAAGTCCCAGAATTGGATGATAGGAAAATCATGGAAAACCCACAGGACACCTCCAGATTTGATGTGAACAGCGCTTTCTTTAATAACAATCGCCATTTCAGGAAACTAAATTCGAGGTCCCTACCATATATAAGGTCTATATAAGGTCTATGTAAGGTCTATGTAAGAGGATATACCCCCAACAAATATGGTTTTACATGTTGCAGTACCTCCATTTTAGGATCCTGGAATTTCCATTGATTATACTTGGTCAAGATTTTCACATTCTGGTCAAGAATTCTGATTTTTATCCGTGGGCCAATCATCCACACTTCAATGGATTGCTTTAGAGGACAATTTACAGGAAAACCTCATATTTCATGGTAAAAACATGTAAAAACACCCTGGTTTCCTGTAAATTTTCCCCAAGAAACCAATCCATTGAGCACTTTCTTCCAGGGACCTCAAGAAGATGTGCAAAGAGAAGGGCGTCGACCCTTGGATTGAGATCGACGGCGGTGCCAGCGGCGGCAACGCCAAGGAGATCAAGGACGCAGGCTGCAACGCCATCGTGGCGGGCTCCGCGGTCTTCAACGCCCCGTCCTATGCGGATGCTGTGAAGGCCATCAAGGAAGCATAGAAAGACCTGAGATCCGAAAAGTCTTGAGACAAGCGATCCGATTGTGTAAGAAATGATGATATTTGTTGATCAAAATGATGATTTTGGTCCATTTTTCCCGTCCCAGCCGGTGGGTCCCGAAGCCGGGGACATAGGCATTCGGCCTGCACTGTGCAGAATCTGAAGGGACCGCAGATGGAAACCCAGCTTTGTATCTGCGGGATTAAGTGCGCGCTGAAGTTTCTACAAAGTTTTGACAGGAGAAAAAAAGGGGGATGCTTTGCTGCAGCAGTCTGGATTCGCCGATTCGGCTAAACCACGTGCAGCACGTGCAGCAGATAAAATGATGTAACATGATGTAAAACCTATCTGAATAGGCTGTGTAGCATTTCAAGTTTTCGGATGATTTTGATCACTCTTAAGTTGGTTTGTAGCAGCTACGACCCACTTACAACGGGAGTTCCCTGTCTACAGCTAAGTCCCCCCGGTACACGTGGCGGCTTTGTATTTGAGATCTGCTTGTAGCATGACAAGATACTTGTCCTGGGTTTTACATTCATATTGGTTTGTCCAACATTCGTGGATAGCCCAACATGGCCAGAAAAGAATGGGCAAATGATGATCAACCATGATCAACCCTCCGATTTTTGGGTACTTTCACACTTCATGCTGGAACACCTACAAGGACTTGGGCCAGTTCTATGCGATGTCCCCCATCAACGGATTTTGCAGGTTCACTGCGGATCGCTTCAGTTGCGTGCGTAAACATCCCAATCTTCATGTGCTTCTCAGGTTGTGTTGTGATCAACGCCTGCTGCAAAGAGTGCGACGGCGCCCGGAACACCCAGTGCGCCTTTGGTAATAAATCATGGCAACGAAATATCACCCATGTAGAGAAGATTTTCCCATTTCCCATTCATGGGCGATGTTTCAGCCAACTCTGTTTGATTTCCGGAGGGTATCCCCAAATTAGATGGTTACCTCAAAAAAAAATCAGCTTTTTGAGGGTTCGAATTGGTAGCCCATTTTGGCCATGGTGAGATCTCCCACGGCAAAAAGAAGGTTGCTTTCAGAATGGACACCTGCCACTGTTGCTTCAACCATCATTTTTTGATATTTTTTGAATCATTTTTTGGTGTGGTGACTGGCATCGGTTTGGGGATACTGGGAGACCCCAGGTCATTTTGGTCAAAATGGGCATCTTTTCCTGGTCCAAAACCTCCAAAGTTTTCCAAAAAAAGTCTGATTGCCTTAGTATTTTTCGCTGTGTTTGTTGGTTACAAGTTACATCCCAGTCTATTCCATTCTCAATCTGGTAAGATGGTGGCGTCAAATCCCTAAAAATCATTAAGAATGGGCTATAAATATCTATAAATGATATATATATATACATAAAAATCTCAAATGGCATGTTTTTTTTTTTCCAGATTATCCCATATTTATCCCAACTATTCCATACGATTCCCAGCGACAGAAATTTCCCCGTTGCTCGGTGCCTGAACGAAGGTCAAGCTTTATCGCCTCTGGTGCCTGCAGAGGTGGCCAAATAACAATCGAATTTATCCCACCAGTAACGATAAAAAAAATGGTGATACATATATTATCATATATTATATTAGTATTGATCTATAGTATGTTATGTATATATATATAATATTTATATATTATATTATATATTATATCAGTAAATATATGTGTATACAATAGTATATATAATAGTAAATACGGAGGTGAAGTGTGTAAACCTAGAAACACGGACATTCATGTGGAGGCATGACTCTTTTGTCAGCTTTGCTGTGCCTCAATACTTCTGTATATAACTTGACTGATTTTCTTTCAGCCTTTTTATGTTTTTATGAGTTTATGTGTCAACAATTGATACAATCAATGGTAATCACCGATGACAAGAAAGTTGGGAACAAAGGTCTTGCTGTAGGAGCTAGTTGTGAATGGGATAATCCCAGCAACTGGGAACTTGCTATCACAAGAATTGCCCTATCAGTTTCTGAGACGATCAGCCAAGCATCATTACCTAGCTGTTGTCGTTTTTGTTTTTAATGGTGGTAGCCTTGCATGCTTTGGCTGGGTCTGTTTGAAAGCAAGGTACCCAGGTACAGTCCGGTTATATGATCCTGTTCAAATGGCCACAGGTGGGGTATGTGGGTTTTCCACAGCCATGCTGCTGGCCAGGCGGTGTTACGAGCCTTTCCGGACGCAACCAAGGCAGTTGGAGCCCCAGCGGTGTTTTCTGCTTCTTGAGATGCGACAGCGAGGGTAGTATAGTGATGTATATGTAGTGGTGATTTTAATTATGTACATATAATTTATTTATAAAATATATATGTATAATGAGATTTAAAGGGATTTGAAGTTATATTTTATGGAATTTAGTAGGATTTCACAATCAAAAATGGGAAACAATAAGGGATATACTACCCGCAATATTAAACACCCCACCGGAAATCATGGCTTTGTAGGGGATACTGGGGGATGGGAGTAATGAATGATAATTTGGATTTTAGGACCTGTTCATCATTTTCCACTGTCAGCCATTGTTATCGTCATCATGATCACAATTACTGCAACTATTATCTAGCTAATCACGGTAGTCGTAATGGTACTTATTAATTAGTAGTACCATGATTGACACTATAGTTACCACTGTGATTAAACATCATTTATTTTCAATTATTTTCATTACAAGTTACAAGCTATCACCATTTGTTATCACCATTGATTTTCATGCTTTAATGATCATAATTAAACAATCAATTTTCCATCACTAACTGGCACTTCAATATAGCTTTGGAAAACCGACATTTCTTAAAAGGTACATGGTTTATAAAGGGGTCATTTTCATCCATTTTCCGTGGCTGAAAATTGCCGCAGGGTGACTGGCATCGGATCATCATCCCCAAGGCCCTTTTGGTGCTCGCGGAGCATACCTTGACCAGTGCAGCCTGTGGTTCCGCGGTGGTTTGGTGCCTTGACACTGCCAGCAGATGCGTCATACCCAGCATAGCCTCTTTGATGTGATTTGTGGATCAACTTGCCCTGTACAGAAGGTAGGACCAGGTAGGAGTCTTCTTCTTGCCAGATCTACCTTCTGATTCCATGTTTTCACTGTCTCTATCCGACTCTATCCCAGTAAAAGTCCATCATTTTATGATCATCTCTCCATGTGTCGGGTTCTATCCCAAATATTTTTCGTTGGTTTCCACCATCATCCAGCAGAACGTGTCGTCACACTCCATTTCTTAGTTCGCAGGGAAGCTCCACGAAGTCCATGGGAGGTTTTCCAGCCATGAAGCTGATGACACAGGAGGGTATATCCCATTATGATTATATCGTATCCCATTCAAGCTCCACAAATTCCATATTGATATCCCATTCAAGCTCCATAAATTCCATATTGATATCCCATTCAAGCTCCACAAATTCCATATTGATATCCCATTCAAGCTCCAGAAATTCCATATTGATATCCCATTCAAGCTCCATAAATTCCCGTTGATATCCCAAGGAATCACTTTAAAATCATCAAACATCCAATGGTTTCACCATCATGCTATGTCCCTCCGGCCCAGGGCCATTCGGGATCAGCAAATCTTGCTGAGCACCTCAAGAAAAGTTGGGATCCCCAGGAAAATCACTTGAGATTCCCCAGTGATCACTGTGTTTTTTTGGCAAAAAAACGATGAATCTATTATGGATATATTATATATGATATTATATATGATATTATGATCTACTGTATATATATATATGATTGGTTGGGTATCACTCCATTTTTTTCGGCCTATTTTTGTTTTGAAAATCGCTTGTCCAGTGATTTTCAATAGTGTCAACCCCGGATGAAAATAAACCATGGTGGATTAATTAGGGGAGTACTCCCCCCAATAGTCGTAATCTAATACTTAAATGGTACCCTACCAATTAAACAGCCTAGGGGTTTATTAATCCAGTGATTTTCAATACCAAGTATCCCCGCAAATACTTTCCCCTCGAGTGAAATCGAACCTTTGAACATCATTTGTGATTTGTTCATGTGTTAGAGTTTTTTTTTTAAAGTAAACATATCCAGATGAAGCGGGAAAAATGATGACCATTGGAACCATTGGGACCTCTGGGCCCTGAAAAAATTCTGACAAAACCACAGGACTATAGCTCCGAAGACAGCCCTCCATAGGTTCTTGATCTTTTTTTTTTGTTAGGTTTGTGCCACATTCGGATGGCATCACAATGATATGCAAAATATCTATCTATCTATCTCTATATATATATAGATAGCTTAGACAACCAAAATCATGTTTATCTCGATGGATTTGCTGATCACCTCGTTTAGGCTCATGAGGAGCTTCGCTCCTTTTCCCTCTGCTTGAGGCTGGGAGGATGGGCTATGTTTGAAATGGTCGGAATAGGTGAAGCATTGTTTGCTAAATGAACTAAATGGCTTATTTTCATTTATTTCCATAGCTATGTTTGAAATGTTTGATGAAAAAGGGTATGATGAGCAACAAAGTTTATTCTTGTCAGAGTTTCAGACCGGCCATAGATCGGTCATGTTTGAGTATTAGCCATACGAAAGGGACAGCTCTTTAGGACCTCAGCCATTTTCTGAGGCCTCTGGCTTGGAGGTACTCAATGACTTGACCATAGAAATTTACTGAACATTTACTGTACATGCATACGTACGTACATACATACCTACGTGCATGCGTGCGTGTACACGGGTGTATACATAGATACATACAGAGGGTAATTCGCACACACGCATACACGCACAATAGATAAATGGATGGACGGAGGGATGGATAGATAAGTGATACTACCGTTCCTGAAACAGGTCCAGATCTTTTGGGGATGACTCTTTCGTGGTGATTGATTTTTGGTGAGAAGACAGCACCAACCTTTGAACTTTCTGAGTTCAAGAAGCAGATAGAAACACGCGGAACAAATCAAACTAGCCTCAAGCTGTCCCAATTGTGGCCGAGTGAAAGTATTGTGGCAACCACCTTGCGCAAGCCTTGACTTTTGCAAGGCCTGGGGATGTGGTTGCCATGGCAGATGGACATCACCGGTTCAGTGCCCAGCGGCGTGAGCATGTCATCTTGGGACAAAAAAAGTGTTGAAGACTCCACACAAAGCTGACTGTCCGGGATACTCGATGACTCAATCTTACTATATCATCTGTCTATATCTGTCTATGGATTTTGGATCTGAAACCAAGGTTGTCTCGTGTCAACATCATGAAACGGGCCGGAACCTTTCATGAGATTTTAGAGGTTCCCGCGCCATTTGGGGTAATATTCATCCAAATTCCCCTCCAGAGAAATGGGGTTCAAACGTGGACCTAATGTGGGGTGGCCATCATGGCCATCTCTTGGGAGATACGACGTTGCAAGGACTACACTTGTGGCGTAGACCTGAAGCCCTACCGGTGACCCTGGCCGTTTCCACTGTCACTGGTGGAATCTGTGTGTTCATTCTTCAGGTTCCCACCCTATGCAAGTTCACCTCCATGTCCCCTGCAGTTCTGTTCTGGGGGTTCTCTGTGGTCTATGGCGTGATATGGCGTGGCTCTGTGTTGCATGCACTTATCCGAATCTGTTACAAGTTATGGCTCTAAGTATTTTGGTCATATACCCAGACAGTCCCATATACGATGTCTCTGCATGCATCATCTTGTCATGGGTTTCTCAGGTCCGAGGCGGATCTTCTGAAATTGGCGATGGAATGTTCGCCTTCGGCCATGGTCTTGAGGCAGATCTGGACGGAGAGTCGGGAATCGGTGCAACCTGTTGGTCAATTTTCGGTTGAAAACTGCACTTGCGTCACGCGTCACTAGTCCTAAAGGTCCTAAAGTATTGAAGCATCTATTTTTGACCCAAATGTTGATCCATTTCTTGAAATACGAGGTTTTTTTTCAACCAGATGCTACGATCATCGCTTCAAAAAAGAGGTGTGAGTTGCTGGCGAAAAATGACGTTTCGGGCTCAGCTCAGGTGGATGATCCCTAGAACCAGGTACTGGTATCCATACAACGAAATATGTAAATGTATATATTTCTATATTATCTACATATATGTTATATATATATATTATGTATATTTATTATATGTATATATTCATCAATATCCGCCGACCCCGGCCTTCGCCAAGGCCGGGGCGGCGCTTGGGACCACCGGAGGTGTGGATCCTGTCTTTCTTGAACCCTTGCCACGCCCAACGCTGCAGGCAAAAGCCACCACAAGGCCACAGCAATGGCTCAAGAGCACCCCACGGCCGCAGCAATGGCTTCTTTTCTAGGCGTTCAAGGCTGCCGTTTGCCAGGCCTCAAACCCTCCAAACCTTCCAACTCCTCCAAAAGTTTGCCCAACTCCGCAGGGAAACGGTACCCCAACAAGCCCAACACGCGCCACGCCCGCAGGCAAAAGCCACCACAAGGCCACAGCAATGGCTCAAGGGCACCCCACGGTCGCAGCAATGGCTGCTTATAGGCATTTAAGGCTGCCACCACAAGGCCACAGCAATGGCTGAAGGGCACCCCCCGGCCGCAGCAATGGCTATAAGGGCCTCTTATAGGCGTTCAAGGCCACAGCAATGGCTCAAGGCCACAAGTCTGCCCACCTCCACAGGCAAAAGGTACCCCAACAATCCCAACACGCGCCACTCCCGCACGCACAAGCCACCACAAGGCCACAGCAATGGCTGAAGGGCACCCCCCGGCCGCAGCCATGGCTTCTTATAGGCGTTCAAGGCTGCCGTTTGCCAGGCCTCAAACCCTCCAAACGCTCCAAAAGTCCGCCCAGCTCCGCAGGGAAAAGGTACCCCAACAAGCCCAACACGCGCCACTCCCGCACGCAAAAGCCACCACAAGGCCACAGCAATGGCTCAAGGGCACCCCCCGGCCGCAGCAATGGCTTCTTATAGGCGTTCAAGGCTGCCGTTTGCCAGGCCTCAAACCCTCTAAACGCTCCAAAAGATTCCAAAAGTCCGCCCAGCTCCGCAGGGACAAGGTACACCAACAAGCCCAACACGCGCCACTCCCGCACGCAAAAGCCACCACAAGGCCACAGCAATGGCTGAAGGGCACCCCCCGGCCGCAGCAATGGCTTCTTATAGGCGTTCAAGGCTGCCGTTTGCTAGGCCTCAAACCCTCCAAACGCTCCAAAAGATTCCAAAAGTCCGCCCAGCTCCGCAGGGAACAGGTACACCAACAAGCCCAACACGCGCCACTCCCGCACGCAAAAGCCACCACAAGGCCACAGCAATGGCTGAAGGGCACCCCCCGGCCGCAGCAATGGCTTCTTATAGGCGTTCAAGGCTGCCGTTTGCCAGGCCTCAAACCCTCCAAACGCTCCAAAAGTCCGCCCAGCTCCGCAGGGAAAAGGTACCCCAACAAGCCCAACACGCGCCACTCCTTGCCACGCCCAACGCTGCAGGCAAAAGCCACCACAAGGCCACAGCAATGGCTGAAGGGCACCCCCCGGCTGCAGCAATGGCTATAAGGGCCTCTTATAGGCGTTCAAGCCCACAGCAATGGCTCAAGGGCACCCCACGGTCGCAGCAATGGCTGCTTATAGGCATTTAAGGCTGCCGTTTGCCAGGCCTCAAACGCTCCAAACCCTCCAAATCCTCCACAAGTCCGCCCACTCCGCAGGCAAAAGGTACCCCAACAAGCCCAACACGCGCCACTCCCGCACGCAACAGCCACCACAAGGCCACAGCAATGGCTGAAGGGCACCCCCCGGCCGCAGCAATGGCTTCTTATAGGCGTTCAAGTCTGCCGTTTGCCAGGCCTCAAACCCTCCAAAAGTCCAGCTCCGCAGGCAAAAGGTACCCCAACAATCCCAACACGCGCCACTCCCGCACGCAAAAGCCACCACAAGGCCACAGCAATGGCTGAAGGGCACCCCCCGGCCGCAGCACTGGCTATAAGGGCCTCTTATAGGCGTTCAAGGCTGCCGTTTGCCAGGCCTCAAACCCTCCAAACGCTCCAAAAGTCCGCCCAGCTCCGCAGGGAAAAGGTACCCCAACAAGCCCAACACGCGCCACTCCTTGCCACGCCAACGCCACCACAAGGCCACAGCAATGGCTGAAGGGCACCCCCCGGCCGCAGCAATGGCTATAAGGGCCTCTTATAGGCGTTCAAGGCCACAGCAATGGCTCAAGGGCACCCCACGGTCGCAGCAATGGCTGCTTATAGGCATTTAAGGCTGCCGTTTGCCACGCCTCAAACGCTCCAAACCCTCCAAATCCTCCACAAGTCCGCCCACCTCCGCAGGCAAAAGGTACCCCAACAAGCCCAACACGCGCCACTCCCGCACGCAAAAGCCACCACAAGGCCACAGCAATGGCTGAAGGGCACCCCCCGGCCGCAACAATGTCGATGGGTCCGTCTGCAACTCTGGCCTTGGACTGGCGCTCACGTTTGCACACATTGCATCCGCAGCAATGGCTATAAGGGCCTCTTCTAGGCGTTCAAGGCTGCCGTTTGCCAGGCCTCAAGCGCTCCAAACCCTCCAAAAGTCCGCCCAGCTCCGCAGGGACAAGGTACCCCAACAAGCCCAACACGCGCCACTCCCGCACGCACAAGCCACCACAAGGCCACAGCAATAGCTGAAGGGCACCCCCCGGCTGCAGCAATGGCTTCTTATGGGCATTCAAGGCTACCATTTGCCAAGTCTCAAACTCCCCAAAGCTTCCAATGTCTAAGCAACTTTTGCCACGCCCAACCGTGCAGGCCAAGGCCACCACAACCGGCCGTTCTTCTCGGCGTTCACGCGTGCCGTTTGTCGCCTTTCTCCTGCACAACGCCGTCCTTCACCCAAAACTTCTTCCCACAGACCGTTTGATGATTTACTCGCCCGGTCTTCACGTCACTGGCCACATTCCAACCTCCAATTAGGGGGGTCGGCGGCACCTGGGCGCTAGCCCATTTTATTAAATACTTATATGACATGTATATATGTGTGCAATCTTATGTATACGGGAAAAAATGGGCCGCGCGATTGTGTTGGATTTATTTTCCCACTTTTGAATGGCCACGCGAATTTTGTGGGATTGCTATCACAGAGATAGCACATTTCATCACATTTCTTAACACGTCCATGTGCCAACGTGTTAAGATGTGCACATCGGATCACATCGGCACATCTTTCAAAGGTGTTTTCCAGGTACGGTACTTGGATGCTTTCTGCTTTCGAGGCATTCTGTTCTTGCGCAGCTTGAATTCACTCTGGATAGATCCAAGCGTTTGATTCTTCTCCTGCATGGCAATTGATTTCATTTCCAACTTGTAAGGACGAACATTTTTTTGAAGGGAGAATCTATTGAAATAGGAGACATTTTCCCCGGCGATGCGAAGAAAACAGCATCCCAGGCTTGGTCTCCTCTGAAAGAAGATCGTCCGCATCCATCCTGGGCTAAGACGATCTTCAACGAGTGTCCTGGGTGGCGATGCAATGCGTTGTGGTTCGGTGTAGAGACATAGATTTCAAGGGCTTGCAGCCACTGTGCACACAATGGACGATGAAACAATGATGAAACAATGATCAAACATATTTGAATTCGTTTGAATCCATTAAAATCCGTGCAATGTAGATAGCATCTGAAAGATTTGCTGATATCTCAATCGAACCTTCGGCTGAGAGCGTCCAGATCTGATTTCATTGAGGGACCCCTCAACTTGACAGGTACGGCACCCACGAATAGAGTGGAAAAAAGGGCGAGGGCATGGTTGCTTGACGGGGTCAGGAAGCTTTCTTGGCCCCTTCAAGGAGGTTAGTAACATTCTTCTGGTTTCGACATGATGATTTTCAGTGAGAAGCGGGTGGCTAACCCGCCATTGACCCAGCATGGTTCTATAGTCTGTTACTGTAACATTTTATTCATCCCGGTTACGAGGTCCAATGTCATTAAAAGTGCCGAAGTCTGCTACTTCATGCAGGTGAAGTCCACTTTTTCAACCCTTCTTGGGTCCCAAAATGGAATGGATCTAAGACTAAACCAGGAGTCATGGTGTGTTTGATATTAGGGGCAAGGAATTTCTTCAATTTCTTCAACTCAACTGTTATTTCGAAGCTTGGTTGCAAGATGGTTCCAACTTGCGGATACGCCCAACAGTGTGGTTTTGCATCAGGAACTTGCCCCCAAAAAGGTGTTTCGGCTTTGGCCCAAGCTGCGCAGAGCACCCTGGCAATGGAGTGTCAAGGAGCTATGACCGGCCCCACTTGAGGGCGCAGTTCCAGTAATTTTTGTGGGTTAGATTTCACCGGTGTAGGGGTTATATCCCAACTTATGGAGGTTATTGCTGTAGTTGATCATAGTTATTGTTATAATTTATAGTGATAGCTATAGTGATAGTGATAGTTGTAGTGATAGTTATAGTGGTAGTTATAATGATAGTGATAGTTCTAGTTATAGGGATAAATAGTTGTTTTTAGTTCCAGATATAGCTACAGTTATAGTTATAGCATGTTATACCCATTGATGACATTTAATAAGCCCAACTGCAGCCCCAAGCCTTGCGTACCAACACCGGCGCCAGGACGCCGGTTTCCGTCTTTAGATTGGCCTCTAAGCCAAGAGGAGAAACGAGGCGACGCTGGTTGGTTCAATTGTTGGGACTTATAAACTACCCTCTGGTTATTTAACATAGCCATGGAACATGGCCCATAGAAATAGATGGTTTACCTATTAATAGCATGGTGATTTTCCATGGCAAACTGTTAGTCATAACCAGATGGTATAAACGACCAATTGAGGATTGATCCCAACTACCAGAAACAATAAACTTAAGAATTGGGGATTATTGAACTAATAAATTGCGACTTATCTATCAATAATCAACTACCAATTTCTATTGGGGATTATTGATTATGATAACCCAGAAACCTTATGGGAAAGATATCCACCAGTATTTCATGAGATGGGACAGGGGTATTTTTAATGGCTCATTTGGCACATTTGGCTTTGTCTGGAAACTAGGGTATCCCAAAATCGCATGATTTGTCATCATTTTACCTGTTAAATAACATTTTTTTGGTACCATTTTCAGACACATCCATGTCGCTGTACGATTCCTACCCCGCGATGCGGTGAGTACTACATTGGCTGAGTCCCAGGGTTCGTCTGAGGCCGGCTACTACAGCTGTACGACAAGGTCAACGGGTGAAGTGGACATGACACTGCACTGTTGCAGGATTTGGTCGGAATGTGTCCCATAGAGAATTGGACATTGGACCACTTGATCATGGTCATAACATTACTGGGTTTGCTTGTAAATTGATTTCGCCGGGTACTGCTGCTGGATTCTAGTTGGGAAGATTTGGGAAATCGATGGAACACCCATGGAAATACGGAAATCAGTGGCGTTTCGGTCGAAAATCAATGGAAACTCAATGGAGAATTGGAAAATCATTGGAACATCATTAGAACATCCATAGAACATCAATTGCCAAGTGCATCACCAATTTCTGTTAGTAGATTGGATAGATTTGGCTGATTTTCTGAGATTTTCCATAGAACATGAATGGACAATCCCCACTTCAAATCCCATCCGACTGAGGATGTCCAAGCAGCAGAGAAGCTCTTGAGGCCAGGAGAACTCTGAGACGTGGATTACATTGAACTTGGTCCTAAAATGGCGGAGCAAAATATCAAAATGCAGCCATTCTCATAACATGATGATAAAAAACGGGCTTCTGGGGCCTGTTATCCCAATATTTCTGTTGCTGTCCGACTGTCCTCCGCAGGGAGAAAGAGAAAGCTGTGAGCAACGAGGCCCGCGGTGTGGTTCAGCTCGTCTCCAAAGGGATGGAACGGACCACGGACCACGGAGATCACACTGCGAACGGCTGCGAAAAATGGGGGACTTCGGCAGCCTTAGTTGCGATGCTTGCGATGCTTGAGATGGTGTAAACATGTGTAAACCCTTCAAGTTTCTACAGATGTGTGGGTTGTGGTCCAGTCGCGACCTGGGGCGGTTCACTAATTTTTCGTTGGAGGTTCACTCAACAGCAAGGTCTTCGAGTTCCATCCAAGGTGGGTGGTATGGAGATCAGCAAAGCCTGGAATCAATGACCAAATCAAAAAAAACAGGCAGATGGCCTAGATAGATAGATAGATAGGTAGGTAGATAGATAGATAGATAGAGAGATAGAGAGATAGAGAGATAGAGACTTGGATAGCTTGGATAGCTTGGATAGCTGGGATAGCTTGGATAGATAAGATCTAATAAGATCTATAGATATCAGTAGATATCTATAGGCATGCGTCAAGATACATCTCCAGTTCCGGATTCGGGCACTTCCTGGCAGGTGACTTGCAAGCGTCAACTTCAACGGATGGCCAGGATTGGGGGAGAGCGCGAGCGCTCGAAGGGTGCCTTGAAAAACCCAACATGGCAATGAAAGATCTGGTAATCAACAAGTCACCTATATATATTATATATATATTATAGATATCTATAGTCTATATATATATATATATAATCTGTATATATATATATGGATGTGAAAGATTTGGATTTTCCAGTGCCATGTTGAACTTCCCAGAGATTGGCACAGGCAGCCGTGGCTAAGTTAGTTTATGTAGCTTCAACATGGATTGTAAGTAGCCATATTATGCTATATCTATATGGGGTTGATATGCCAACTTGTGACTGGGGCTGATTACCTTTCTGTCACATGCCCGAAATAAGAACTGAACTCATAGACTCATAGGAAGGATTGAGCAACGCCTTGGGTATCGCTTAAACTGATTCACAGTTGCAGTTACAGCACCCCCTCAATAGAAAGGAAAGTAATTTGCCAACATCTTTGAGTAGGATTTTGTTCTTCTATCCTTTTTTTTTGCGGGTTGGATTCAGGAGCTGGCCGTTGGGAAGTGGGACTTCACGTGGCTGTTGCCAAAGGCCAGTGACAACTGGGGAGGAGAGTGTCAGGAACTCATGGGTAAGGTAGTGATATGAATACTTGTACCAACAAAAAGGATGGGATCTGTATGTGCATATACAATTTATATATATATATAATTTATATATATATATAATTTATATAATTATATATAATATATATATAATGTATATATATAATTATATATATAATTATTGTGAATGGCTATTCACACTGGTAGTCCTCTCTCCAACAAGCCTCCTTTAAGGCAAAACGCGCTGTTTTCCCCAAACAGCCAACGGGCCACCGTCAAGTGGCAGCAGATGTCCAAATGCGAAGACCAAGGACGCCACGTCCTGCAAATGCTCCCTGAGCAATGTAGCTTATGGCCAAGCAAAGAACCCACCCGCCGCTTCACCTTGAAATGGGCCCTGAGCCATGTATTGCTAGTCACATGAACATTGTGGTCAAAATGACCCTTCGGTGGATTTACAACCTGGCAGCTGTGGAAGATCCTGTATCTTGTACTGCTGGTACACCTTGCAATGTTGGGAAATTCACACTCCCAAAAATCTCTTTGTAAATTCAAAATTGAAAAGACTCACAGAGATGTTAACGCATTGCAAGGTTCTTCATCGCAGTTCGATTTCAACCACTTCAGACGTGTGCGTTTGTCCAAACGGGCTTTCAGGATCTCCAGTTCATCATTCAACCTGTATTTTCCATGAAGAAGAGTTTCTCTCAAAAAGCTGGTGTCCATGATTTTGGTGAGGCAGTCTGCAAGCTGGGCTCCTGAGTGTACCCATCTAATTTGCACTCCTTCATCCAACAGATCTTTGATCCGGCGGGCGTTCAGTTGGGTCCTGAACTCACTGCACGCAGGAACTGCAGTCCTTGTGACTAAATCAAAAAGGCTTTTGCAATCCGTTGCTATGGTTCCCTCCGGTAACTGCTGAGACTTGATCGTAGCTGTTGAAAAGGATTCAGGCAAATCCTGCAGAGCTTGCTCTGGTCGCTTCCATGGAACATTGTTATCGAGTAACCACGCCCAGCATAGTCGAATCCAAGAGAGCTGATCTAGCACTGTGCTCAAGGAGACGGTCTCGGCAGCTAATGTGCTTGTAACTACTCTTTGGATTTTCTTGCATCCCCATGACATCGGATTTACCACACAAGTAGTATTGTTACCAATATCTTTATGGGTACTCATGATCATACAACCAGTGTGGGAATCGGGATTCTTTCTTGAAGCAAAAGAAGCATCGGAAAATGCCAGGAACCTCAGATCTGCACAAGCAATGGGATTGATGGTTAAGGATACATTGGAATGTCTCTTGGCTTCGTGAAGGGTACGGTTGGCTTCAAGTAGAGTTTGTATGGTTGCTTGATTGATATCTGATTGAAGGAAACTTAAACGGCTTGACAAATCTGGACGGGTATGGACCGATGCATACTGAAGGCTTCCAATTAAACCCCTGAGTGCCATCTTTTCTTCTGAGGTGACCTTGGCTGTTTCATCCTTTCGGCGTTCAATTGGTATTTTGATGGGATTAATTGCGTTAACGTGCTTGCTTTGGGAAAGTGTAATGGCTTTGTTGGGATGTTGAAACATGTCAATTCCAGTGAAAGTAAATTGGCCAACCTTTTGAGATCCAAATGGATACTATAGCGCTTTTCCAACTCTTGAAGTTTGGACATGAACCTCTGATTTCCTCCACATAGACCATCATCTACATGTACCCCAATGATACCTTCAGGAACTCGAGTCTTTGGGCAACGCAGTATGAAAGTACACGGACAAAAGGGGGACTGTTCGAATCCTAACTTCAGCACTTCTTCTTTCAGGGCTTGAAACCACATGAACGGTGCATCGATCAACCCATAGGCGCTTTTGGTTAAACGACAAATTTCATCTTTGCTCAAACCCATCTTTGCAGCAAGTTCTGGCACAGGCTCAAGACCTAAGATACGGCCACTTTGAGGCTTGCCTTGTAGGAAAGCAGCCTTGATGTCAAACGATCTTAAATCCCAAGACATGGACGCAATCAGTTGGAGCAACAGCATTTTGGAATGTCGATTCAGAGTTGGTGAATCACGTGGGATCTCAGTGATCTTTGGATCCAAATAGCCTAACACTACAAGTCGAGCTTTTGCTTTGGACGTCTTTTGAGGTTTCTTGGGATCCCGGTCACTTTCTTCGATGGGTTTCCAGGTGAGAATCCATCGACACTTCAATACTTGCTCCGGTGGGATCTGATTGCGAAACATTCTCTGGACACTGCCTGTTTTCAGCCAGTTTGCTATTTCATTTTCTTTTGCAGCGGCAAATTCTGCTTTCTCGGAGTGCGTCAAGGTTGACAGCTTGATTTCAGATCTCTGTCTTTTTGCTGCTGAAACCAGAAAAGACATCTCTTCCGGCAGATCGGCGAGTTTCCATTCTTGAATGTCAGCATCAGTGACCATGACTTCAGCTTTCCATGCTAGATCTTCTTGGGTATGTTCTAAAACATTGATCTCAGCATCTATACTATGCAATCCTTCACAAATAAGATCATCATCAGTTTCAATAGGAACCGGAACATCTTTGGGATCTTCGGGAACTTGTTGTTCCTCGGATGGAGCTCTTTCTTGTTCGGAAGGTGCACTGGAAGGTATCTCTGGTTCATTGTCAGGTTGATCTTCTTGACTGTTATTGGAGTTGCTGAGATGAGGTTCTTCAGTTGTAGGTGTGTTGGGGTCTGTGAATTGCATGGGAATTGGCATACCCAGATCTACATATCGGGTCACTGTTCCGGAGACTTCGCTCGGGAGTTGCTGGGCAATCTCGGAAATGGATGGTTCGACAGGTCTCTGCAAGATGCCTTTGGCTTCTTCAGCAGTCACAGGCCTAACATGTTCTGGGGCACATCTGTAGATTTTACTGGACATCGTCACCCAAATGGTTTGTTGATTCTCATGTACAACAACTTTCATGGGACCTTGCCAGTATCCCTGAGTTTGTCCGAGCCCCTCTTTCCATGCCATGACCCATTCGCCTGGTTGGTAAGCTCCCCTATGTGGGTGGGAACGGCGCAGCATGGCTCGACGCAGCGCGGAGTCATTGTCAGCACTGTGGAACGCCCTTCTGGCTGTCTCACGGTAAGCTAACTGCTGTCGGAACTTGATTCCCTGAGCATGTTCAGATTCAGCCAGCAAATGCGCAGGGAGGAGATTGTCACTACTGACGGAACCAGGGAGTCTTGTGTGCTTGCCGAGCAGCAGGACTTCCGGGGCAAAGCCTCCTTTCAGGCTGCATGCATTTTTGGCCTGGATACACCACCACAAGGCTTTCTGGAGATCGCCATAGTTTTCCACGGCATGTTCACTGTTAAACTTGGTTAACATTTTATCCAAAATAGCCCCATGTCTCTCGGCTTTCCCATTTTGGAAGTGAGCTTCGGGGGATATGGTGGTACCTTTTATATTATGACTTTGAAGGAAATTCATGAACTCTTCTCCATTAAATTCTGAGGCCGCATCCACTAAGATTTCACCAGGTGCCCCTGCCCAAGACAACCACATCGTCATGAGAGCTTGGATGGCATCTTCTGATGTCCTAGACGGTGCCACGTGTGCCATGTGAAAGTTGGTGGCCCAATCTATTACATGGTATACATGGTATGTTCGACCCTTATTGCTTGTCCAGGTCAGTCCATCAATGGAGATTCTGTCATTGAAATCCATGTCATCCTTCAGTGAGCCCGGTCGGGCAGATTTCGGCTGAGAGTTCTGAATGCAAATGGAACACTGATAGTTCCGTGCGGCTTTCACCATTTCTGGTCGGAAACCTTGCTGTAGCATGATGGTGCTCATTCTCTCGGCACTCGGATGTCCGAGATTTTTGTGGATTTTGGCTAGCATTTGTTGATCACTTTTGGGAAGGTTCTTGACTGATTCATGTTGGAAGTTATGGATGGATTTCTTCTGGTTGTCATCAGCATCATGGTTGGGGTTATGAATCTGTAAGTTATCATGTGGCTCATTATTGGTATTGGTAGCTTCAGGACTTTTATTTGATGATTCCTCATGGTCTTGTTCTAGACGTCTGTCTATGTTGTTTCTCTGGGACATTACCTGTGGTGCTACAGGCTCAGGAACACTGCTACCAGGCTGATCCTCACCGGCTGAACCGCTGGTGTCATTGGCTATGGATTCTTTTGATCCGGACGCCCCAGGATTGGGTACAGCATCGCAGGCAAAAACCGTTATATTGATCCGACATGCATGTGAGGGTCTTACCCTTTGGCGTTGGGATAGCTCTGACCACTTTTCCCACTGATCTTCTGCAAAGATTTTGGTGGTTCCCCTTTTCAAGAAGATGCACTTTCGAAAAGGTGCTTCTAGTGATAACATGTTTGGTGGAGGGGCTATGGTCCTATCTGAACCCCTGCAGGCTATGGCAAATTGGATAGTTTTATCCGGCAACAGGCATTGGATTTCGGACAACAATTCAGGATTGTCAAGCTGAGTCTTTCCTACTCGAGGCAGTAGATTATCCACCTTGTCAAACACCTTGTTCCATGCTTCCAATGCATTGAGACTGGCCTGTTTGCCATTCAACTTCCGACGTTTCACAAGCATGTCTGCGGTCACTTCCGAGGACCTGGAAAGTTTCGGTTTGGCCTGAGTGAGGAGCCTTCTCCTTTTCAACGCAGGCTCATTGACAAACACTGCGGCATCATTTGGGCACATCATGGGTGTGATAGGGCATTCTTTGGGATACTGTAGCTTACAAAGGACTTTTGCCATGTCTCTTGCAAACTTTCGGGGATAGGATTCTGAGAACACCGATCTGTTCACTCTTTGTTTATCCCTTACTGTGGATCCCTCAATAACCTGATGTTCGTGTTGTCCCATACATTTCTTGTTCTTCAAGCTTTCGGCAACTCGTGGTGAGGTGGTTAACACAGTCATGCCTTTCTTGATATGCTTACCATTCTGGGGATCTACCAAATTCCCTGCAGTGCACATGTCAAAGTCCACAGCCAGCGTGGCATGGTGGATCTCGCTGAGGTAAGGCAGCTTAAACATGAGGGATGCTTGGGACTGTTCCCAGTGCATGTGACGATTGCAGGACACTTGAAACCGCAGCAACACAACCCCTAAGGCAATTTGTTCAAGATGTTTCAACCTGCAGTTCTGCAAATCATCCCATGCTTGAATGGATCGGCTTCCATTTAGTGTTGACCATCCTGACCATGGTCCACATGACGGAGAAAACCACAAGTGCTCAGGCCGCTTGGAGACAACAGTTTCAAACAACATGTTCCTACCTTCAGAAGACTGGAGATCACATTGCTCGAGTCCAATGCGTTCAGCTTTGAAACCAAGCTGTTGCACTTGATGGGTCAACTGACTCTTTGGACCGCAAAATACCTCCAAGAGGTTCAACCGGCAGGACGTCTGGATCTGCTTGGAATTGGCCTGGATGACCGTTTCCAATTCTTCAGTGTACTGTTCTACCAACCGAACAAACCTACGACGTTCTTGGCATGTGTGACGTTCAAGACCTTCAGTATGATACACACTGGAACATGGGTCTCCGGCAGCTAACATTCCTAACATCTCCAGACGATGTTCATTCACTGTTCGACGGGTGTCGCAGCTCTCACATGACCTTGATGAATCGCCATCTGCTCGAGGTGGCCCAGGATGTTCTGAACGGCGGTCTCCAGCTGGAGCATCCTTCCTTCCAGATGGTGGAAGTCGGGTTGAGCCTCGATCAACTCCTGGGTGGTGAAGTCGATGTCCCAATCGGTCAGGCTCTCTGAGGCCATGGGCATTTCTGGTCGAGCCTTGGCCTTGGCCATCAACTTCTGGGACAATTTCCCACTCTCCTCGATAGGCATCTTCCGGTGGAGCTGTGGTGCTGACTCCTGCACTGTGATCTCTTCCCCTTCCAGTTCTGCACGTTCGACCTTCAACTCGATGTACTGAATCAACAGGCGATGAACACCTTTGGTGCTGTTCTGATAGTGCTTCATGAACCACGAAATCCACTGTTGGTCGTCGTTCCAGACTTCTTGAAACGAATGACCCAGGTGCTTGGTCCCGAACTCGATCTTCATCTGGTCGAGCTCCTGCATCGAGTATCGAGACACATCCGGCAGAGGTTCTGCCACTTTCACCTGTAGTTTCTGCAGACGCTGGTTCAACGACGACATGAGGCGTATCAACAATTTTGTCACGGGCAGCAACGGAGGGAGATGACTCTTGAGGTGGCTGGCATATTTTCGGACATGCGATCATGGTGTGTTGAAGCTCTTTGCCAGCTGATTCATTCTTGTCATTTGGACGAGTTTCGGCATGTTCACTTGAACCCTCTGGTACCCTGGTGTGACTCAACCCTGGACCCTGACGACATGACACCTTTACGTTATTGGTTTCCTGACATGATATTACACTGGGACTGTCGGCACTGTCATGATGGCTTGCATGTTTTGACGACTCGGAATCGGCCAAATGAGTCTCGGCAGGACGTCCTCCTTCCGATGTTTTGGCCGTGTTGGCCGCCAGATCATTCAAATCAATCAAAAACAGGCCCTTTGGTGTCAACGTAAGTGGATACTCTTGGTTATATTTCTTGGACCACAAGACATGTCTTTCCACATCAATCACTGCATGCATAGCTCTGAGCAACGTGTTGGACAGCAAAAACGGAGTTGACCCTGGCACGATTGCAATTTTCAAAAGCAAATCTTGGAGAGGAACTACCAGTGCCTGTTCACTCTGCAGGGTGCCATGGTTGCCAAATCTGAAGGTCACATGGCATGGACATCTTTGCAAGTTCTTGCGGATGTTTGGATGCAAGTTATTGATCAGGTCAGCAACCAGATTGCTCCCAATTACCGTCTTGGTAGCTCCTAAGTCTACAACGCCCAGGCTGCTATGCGTGGCAAACATCGTTGAGGCATCAGACATCGGCTCAGAAGTGGTATCACAGGTGACCTCGCTCCTAGGTTGGCTTGGCTGTTGACGGATGCTGATCTGATTTCTTATCTTTACATTATTAAGGGATTCCCTTAATTTACCCCTGAAATCATGGTGACCGGCAACATAAACAACTACATCATTGATCTGAGGCTCATCGATTGTCCCTTCGCGGGCTTCAGGCAACTGCAGAAATTCCAAGGGCATGGACGACTCAACACTGACGAAGGACGTCGGGGCAGTGGCATTCGACTGCGGGGCTCTGGCATTTCGTTCAGGGCACTCTGCCTTCCAGTGACCAACTTTGTTGCAGATCCTACACCTGGAAGTCAAAATCCTCTGTTCCAACGATTTCCGAGAAGATGAGTGACCCTTCTGAAACTTACCCTTCACTCGACCTTTGTTCGATCCTTTGGCTTTGCCACCACCTGACACTGGCCAGAATCCACGAAATCGGACCTTTTCACTCAAGCGGCGACGAGCTTCAGAGTAAGTGTTGAAGGCGGCAGCAAGCTCTTCATCTCCTTGAATCAAATCTGACGCAGCATTCTCAAAGTCGGTAATGAATGCAGCATCGGAATCACCCTCCTGCATCAATACTTCAACCATCTCATCTTCATTCATGCCATCACCCTCAGCAGCATACACCTCATCTTGAATCTCATCATCTTCAGCTTCGGCTAGCAGAGTGGCTTGGTCATATGTCTTTTGTTTGGCACGCTTGGCACCGGTCACATCTTG